GATGATTTTGCCATTTGGTTTGCCGCTTCAAGCGCTCGGCATATGGCCAGACAGCTGCAGCTTGCAGTGACGCGGTTGGAGAGATGGAGTCGTGACAACGGTCTTCGTTTTGCAACAACGAAGACCGTCGCTATGCACTTTTGCCGCCGCCGCTGCGGCGACCTTCCCTTGGGAATCCAGCTCTATGGACAGGTGATTCCTACTCGTCCGGTGCACAGTGGCCCTTTTTCAGAATTAGCACGCATTAATTCCCACAATACCTGAAAGTGGTGCAAGACATCACCACGTGATCAAGGACGTATTCCCTGCCAATGCAAAGAGAAGAAAAGAAACGAACTGCCCAAGGAGATTCGGCCCAACAGCGACAGACCGCTCGGGCCAAGATTTGGCGCACGTTTGCACGGCTCGCCCGCCGGCCAGGCCGCTCCGAACGCAAGTGTGGCGAGCCCGCCAGCCGACCGCGCTGCGCTGACCGCCAGGACGCCCCAGGGCGTCACGTGACCGCATCTACAGCTGTTGCCAGCCACCGTTAGTGTAATTTCAATTAGCACATCTTATGGCAAAAGTCAAGCCACATTTAGGCGCACACCAGGTGACACCAGCTTCGAGCCAGGTCAATGAGCTTAGTCGTATCGAACAGGAGCCACAGCCGCTCGTGGACTGAACTGGCTCACGTTATCCACCGTAGAAGCAAAATGGCGCAAAATGGCGCGATGCCCTTTGGTGGACATGGTCAGAAGAGATCGGCGATTCGAACGATGTATAATACGACATGTTCCAGAGTGTGCTACTTAACATAAAGCTTCATATGTATGCCGCCATCTCCAGTTAATAATTGTCCTGTTATTGTGTCCGCAATATTCGGCAAAAGTGGTCTATTTAAGTTTATACAATGAAAATTGTGGTTTCTAGGGCTTCTACGTAAACTCAGCTTCACAGCCATGCCACTAATTTTTAATATTTTCTCACCGAAAGCCTTACAAATTGATGTTCATCTCAACCTACTTTTTAGGGTCCGCCGGTGGTGTCCGCGCGCCTCTCGACAAACTTCGATTTTGCGGTCAGTTTTACCAAAGATAATTATTTTTTAGGAGGTAAAAATGGCACCATCGGATAGTTTGGAATGTTTTGCACACGATTAGACTGCTTTTTACTCAAAAGAAGAGAAAAAATATTTTGAATTTATGCGTGCTAATTCTGAAAAAGGGCCACTGTGCGGTGGCGAAGTTTCTTGGGATCTTTTTTGACAGTCGTTTAACGTATAAAGAACATTTTAGAACGCTTCGGGAACGATGTTTTAAATCCCTGAACGTTTTAAAATGTGTCGCCCGCACATCTTATGGTGCGGACCGCAGGACCCTTCTTCTTCTATATCGATCTATTGTACGATCGAAGCTAGATTACGCTTCTTATGTCTACGATTCAGCGAGTGAATCTAGCAAGAGGGTCCTGGATACAGTCCATCATGCAGCACTCCGAGTAGCCACCGGAGCATTCCGCACCTCGCCCAGGAGCAGCATTCTTGCTGAGGCGCATGAACCGCCACTTTCACTCCGCCGTCAGATGTTGGGTATGCGGTACGCGCTGAAACTGCGCCAATTTCCTATGCACCCGACGTACCCATACGTTTTTTCACGGCATGCCACCCGATGTAACGGAAGGTTACGACCCTCGTTCGGAGTGCGCATGAAAGAACTGTTTTCAATAGCTGACATAGCATTGCGTAACGTTCGTCGTACCTGGGCTGCGCCCCCTCCACCGTGGAAAAGTGTCAGTCCACAGGTGGATCTTTCGCTTTCTGCAGTTCCAAAGGGCAAGTTGCTGCCTGCAGAGGCACGAGTCCGAGCCTTGGAACACCTTGCCTCTTACGATGGTTTTATTCCTGTATTCACAGACGGCTCTAAAACACCTGAGGGAGCGGGCTGTTCTTTCGTCGCTGGCGACGATACCCGTTCATTTTCGTTGCCATCTTTCGCCTCGGTGTTTTCATCGGAACTTGTTGCCATCGAGAAGGCTTTGTGTTTTATTGAGGTATCGGACGGACCTTTTTACTTGATTTTATCGGACTCCCTAAGCAGCCTGTTGGCCCTGCGGAGTTTTAATCCAGCCGACCCGATCGTTCAAGACATTTTAGCTCGGCTTCAGTCAGTAGAACAATCGGGTAAATCTGTTCAGTTCTGCTGGATTCCCAGTCACGTTGGCGTTCATGGCAATGAGCTGGCAGACGCGGCTGCAAGGCGTGCTGCTGCAGCACCCTGCACTCGTCGGTTGCCATTGCCGGCGCGTGATTTTTACCCTGCTGTACGATCTTTTATTCTAACGGAGTGGCAGGCAGAGTGGCGCCTGCGTGGAGGCAGGAAGCTCCGAGAGGTGAAGCCGACTCTGGAGCATTGGAGGTCTTGCTCGCAAGACAACAGGTCAAACGAAGTGATTTTATGCAGGCTCCGCATCGGTCATACGTATGCGACGCATGGCCACCTTCTCCGCGGAGATGAGCAGCCCGTTTGCGGCGGGTGCGCCGTGCCTCTCACCGTCGCCCACGTGCTTTTATCTTGTCGACGCTTGGAACCGGACCGGACTCGCTACCTGGGCCGCATCGCTCCGGATATCACCGTCCGCCACTTGCTGGGTGACGAGTCACCCTGGGTTTTATCTGGCAACATATTTTCCTTTATCCGTTCAATCAAATTCCAAGTAATCTACTCGATCTGATACCAAACCAACTAGTCCATACGTCTATTCTAATCTAGTCCTTACGCCTAGTCAGCTGTCTTTTACGATACGCTTGGAGTATTTTACCCTTCTTTGCTCTTTTTAACCAGCTTTTAGGCTTTTTTAAGCCTTTTATTACGTCGGTTTTCTCGTGACACACTTGCTTTACTTGCATATAGTTATGGGCGCAAAATGACCTTGTAGTCGGCGCGCCCTTAAGCCCCAATAAACAACAACAAGGAGCACGGCCACGCCCTGCACTTCCGGCGATCATCCCCAGACCAATGAGCAGACTGTCGCTGTCGGCCTCACAGTTAGCCGTTTCAGGGGCCACCATCAGAATGTTGAGGACAGCATGTTTGTACGCATGTCTGAACTGGGTGGGGTCGGGGTTGTCCCATGTTGACGCCACGCTGACGGATAACACCAAACAGATTTTCAAGTGGATCCTGGTTTAGACGGCGAGTGCATAGGAACCGGCAGTCCGTCCCCTTGCACTTCTCCCAAACGTTCTGTACCCCACGGATAGTCTGACGGAGGCCCCCGATGGAGTCGATTCGAACCGACCCATCCCCCACGACCCACCTTCCCAACCACTGATCGGCCTCCTGGGGGAGGCTGAGGTGTCGCTCGGCCGTTGCTGGCTTCATGCGCGAGATGGCCCTCTTGTTGAAGCACTTAGCCAACCGGCTGCTGGAGTTCAGCACGTCGAAGAGGTCGTTCAGTTTCATCAGTGCTGCCGCTGTGTCTGCTCTCTGGAGCCAGGATACCTGGAATGGTTGAAACATTGCAAAGATCATCATCAGACACTGAAAGGACACTGAAAGGACACTGAAAGGCACATGTTCAGCATGGAGTAGCCCTTCACGTGAGGACAGGAGGGGCTCTATTTTTCAAAATTTACATAATTTTTCAGGATACTGCAAAACGCTCCCTATTTGGTGGTGAGGGGTGCGGGCTACCAAGTGCCAAACCAGTCAAACCGCTCATGATATTGACTGCTGTCTAATTAAGATATCTTGACAAAATTGCGTGTATTGTTTCCACAATCGAGCAAAAAATACTGGTAATGCACGCGACAAATGAATGGAAGAATGGGTCAGCCACCAGCAGTGAATCTTACCGAGTTCAGAGAAGAGAGTCATTGCAACAGCAACTGAACGGCTCATGACCTGGGTGGCCAACTTAACGCTCATCTTTTTGAATGGTGTTGGTCGAAGGTGGAGCGTTTTCAGCTTCGGTGCTGCTCGCAGCTTCCGGCAGCGATCCCAGTGGTACAGAGCCATCAGATGGTTCCAGCTGACGACGTGGCCGTCCACTGTGACGTCGTACTTGAGAAGAGCGTTCCGCAGGCATTTGAACAGGTGCGGCACGTCGAACAACGCAGCCACATCCTGACCACCCACTCGGTAGCTACCGTCCTCAGCGGCCGATCGGCCATACATATGCCACGCATGGCCACCTCCTCCGCGGAGACGAGCAGGCCATTTGCAACGGTTGTTCCGCGCCTCTTACCGTCGCTCACGTGCTCTTATCTTGTCCACTTTTAGAACCAGACCGGACGCGCTACCTCGGCCGCATCGCTCCGGGTACCACTGTCCGCCACCTGCTGGGTGACGAGTCACCCTGGGTTTTATCTGGCAACATCTTTTCCTTTATCCGTGCAGTCAAATTCCAAGCGATTTACTCGACCTGACCCAAATCCTCTCTAGTCTCCTTGTCTAGTCAGTTGTCTATTACGACGCTTTTGCGTTGTTTTATTTTACCCTGCTTTTTTTATAAAGTCTTCTACTTTCTAGTCTTGATATCTAGAAAGTTTCTTCTTTTGAAACACTTGTTTTACTAGCGCGACGTTATGGGCGCAAAATGACCTTTGCAGTCGACGCGCCCTAAAGCCCCAATAAACAAACAAACAAAGCGCCGAGAAGTCGGTAGGTCTGCTGGTTCGTGGCGCCCATGTCACACACAGAGGCCACTACTGTGAGACCAGCTTCCTGCAGCTTGGTGACACACTGCACCAAAAGCTCTCGCTGGACCTCTGCCTTTGTAGGGCCTGCCGAGAGAAAATAACCCATACTTTGTTTCCATCTCTTTGTGATGCCACGCACCATGAGTGGTTTGCACAGGCCCTGGGGCCTGGACCTTCCAAAGGAGCCGAAGTCCTTTGTGCCTTCAATGGCATCATCTCCACGCAGGTATGTGATATTTGACCTGATGGTCATTTCATCAAAACTCCTGTCCCGACCCCTGGTGACCCAGTGACTGGCGGCTGGCCGCTCCGCCGCCAGGATGCCCGTGCAGTACATCGTGGGCGAGTGGGAGTTTTGCGACGTGACGGTGTCGGTGCGTCCGCCGGTGCTGGTGCCGCGGCCCGAGACGGAGCGGCTGGCGCTGCTGGCTGCCGACCGGCTGCGCCCGCTGGCCGCCGCCGGCGAACGGAGCCCCCGGCTGCTGGAGGTCGGCTGCGGCTCCGGAGTCATCACCCTCGCCGTCCTGCACTGGCTCAAACAGGTGACTAAAACGAGCGCTGTACCGGGCGTCGCCTGAATCACCACGTGACAAATAAAGTCGTGCTAAGCTTAGAGCTTTTTTCTCTCAATTTTTCATCGCAAAGTACTGGCTCTAATGTCGACTGACCGAATTACATGTTATTTTGACGTTAGCGAAACATTTTCTGTGATATAAGATTCGCTGTCATCCTACCTCGTAACTACAATGCCTTAGTGAGCTATACGTTTGTGTTGCTGAATCACCGACTGGGAACTAAGTTCAGGGCTGCGGAGTCGATGAATTTTTTTATGACTCCGACTACGACTCCGGCAGAACTGTCGACCTACTTACTCCTACTGGTACTCAGCAGCCCTGGAAATAACCGCCATCGACCTCGAGATGCCCAGTAGACGACAATATACAGCGGCACTGTGTGGTGAATCCCCTAAAGCTGAGCTTCTCCCCTCGGCCGCCAGGTGTCAGCGGTGGCGGTGGACCCGTCTGAGGCCGCCTGTCTGCTGACTGAGGAGAACGCCGCTCGGTTGGGCGTCTCTGAGCGACTGCACGTGCACCGCGCGGCGCTCACCGACGCCGGACTGCCCTGTATAGAGGGTCAGCGGTTCGACATGGTGGTCAGCAACCCGCCCTACGTGCCGACGGCCGACCTGCGGCGGCTGCAGCCGGAGATACTGCTGTGAGCGCCCGGCAGCACCGCCGAAACTGGGAGAGGGGGCGAACTTCATAGCTGTTTGGGGTCGGAGTAGAGAGAGATCCTCCGCTCCGTCATTTCCATCCTCAGGACAGCCCAAGTCCTTCTTCACGCCTCCACCCCCTGCTCCAGACTGGACGGGCAACTTTATCCCATGCGGGAAGCTACCTAGGAGCATAGGCGGGGAAGGGGGGAGGGTCAGGTCACCGGGGCACCGTGCCCCCATTGATTTTGCCATTTTAACATTAGTCCTATGGGCGTTGCATGGAAAGAATGGACCAAAAGTCGGCAGTGCCCCCCCCCCCCCCCGTTAATTGAGGATGTTTCGCCGCTACTGCCTAGGAGCACGCCCGTGGCCAGGTGCAGTGAGTGTTATGGGGCTGGGCGGCCTGTCCACTGGATGGGCACAGTCCCGACAACCCACTAGGGTGCCCGTCCAGACCATAATTGTCTCCCCCTAACTCCTACCACCCTTGAGTGGTATCTCACGAGTCCGTACACTGGCTTTGCAGCGTGCAATTACATAACGAAGTGAAGTGGGACTTCGGGGCAGAAGGCTGGATGCTGCAGCCTCAATTCACAGTTTGGTGGAGCGTTTCTCGCTGTATCCTGTGTAAAGGCTCCGCAGTGCAGTGGAATGCTGTGATACCGTGCAGTCTGTATAAGACTGTCTGTGTGTCTGTCTTCGTTGTTGCGAATGTGACCGTGTGGTGCGGTGTGTTTCCTGTCAAGGACTGGTGACCGCTCTCCCGTGGTTTTCTCGTTCCGGCATGTGACCCGTGTGGTGCGATGTGTTTGCAGTTACGAGGACCGCGCTCTCCCGTGGTTTTCTCGTTCCGGCATGTGACCCGTGTGGTGCGATGTGTTTCCAGTTACGAGGACCGGGCGGCGCTCATCCCCGTGGTTTTCTCGCTCCGGTGCGTGACCTCACATGGTGTGTTTGCAGTTACGAGGACCGCGCGGCGTTTGGGCGTGGTTTTCTCGTTACGGCGTGTGACGCGTGTGGTGCCGTGTGTTTGCAGTTACGAGGACCGGGCGGCGTTCGGGCGTGGTTTTCTCTTTCCAGCGTGTGACCCCGTGTTGTGCGATGTTTCCAGTTACAAGGACCGGGCGGCGTTCGGGCGTGGTTTTCTCGTTCCAGCGTGTGACCTCACATGGTGTGTTTGCAGGTACGAGGACCGGGCGGCGCTGGACGGCGGGCGGGACGGCCTGGCGCTGGTGCGCCGCCTGCTGCGCCGCTCGGCCGGCTGGCTGCGGCCCGGCGGCCGCCTCCTGCTCGAGCTCGGCCTCGGACAGCCGGAGACTGTAGTGGCGCTGCTCTCAGAGCCCGGCACGGGGCTGACGCGACCCCAGGTGCACCGGGACTTCACCGGCCGCGAGCGCTTCGTGGAGGCGCAGCGGGAGCAGGAGAGAGGGAGGGAGGACCCCTTTGACTCGTCGGTCGTGTCATGAGCTGCAGTGCGGCAATCATAAGTCGATGTAAGGTCGGTTTGTGACGCCTTTTGTGAATGATTCGATTGATTTTTATGGTGAGCGCATGAAGAGTGTCCGAGATTGTTCATTGTAGTGTTGTGAACTGCGTTTAACCCGCGCACCGACGGGGGTCTGCGCCAACTTCGCACCGACGGGGGGGGGGATGACCGCCCCCCCCTGAGATCTCGAGAACGAAGCAAGATAGCGACAAGCGGTAAACGGCATCGGATACGCACGGTCAAGATCTACAATTTTTACGAAGGTCATTTTCAGGTCAGGTCAAAGATGACGTCACAGGGGTCGAAAAAGTCAAAATGGCGGCGCTAGATATGGAGAGAGTTTTTCTCGAATAACTTTCGAATTAGTCAAGATAGGAACAAACTAAGGGCATCATCGTGATCCTCTCGTCAATCCGCATCGAATGATATATATGTTGACCTCGAAAGGTCAAGGTCAAAGGTTGACCTCAGGTCACGTGACCTCGAGGTCATCATGTATATCATTCGATGCGTCTTGACGAGCTGAACACAATGAGACCATCCACGCCTCTGTATCTTGTTCCTGTACGGAGTTATTGGCCAAAAACCTTTGGTGACCTTTGATGACGTCACATGACCTCACAGCTGCCCAACAGCAAAACAGACCTCAAGGTAGTGAAGGTTGATCGTATATGAAGTCATGTATGGTATATGGGGCCATTCCGACCCGTTTTAGTGGTAAAAACAGGGAGTTGATTTTTCCCCCATTGACTTATAATGGGGAGGTCGCGAAATTGACCTGACCTTGGGTCACCGATATCAAAATTCCGAGATATACAAATTGTAGCTCCTAATGACCTAATAATATCCTGCGACTTTCAAAGGCCTCCGACATTTACTGTAGCTCTGGCACGGTGACAAAGTTGCGAAAAAGTGACTTGAGGTTGGGTCATTCAAAGTGACCTGGTGACCTGACCTTAAAAGGTAGGAGGTTCAAACTTGCACACCATGTGTAAAATTGATGAGGTTATAGTCATACCAAATTTCGCGGCGCTACGCGCCGTGGTTTTCCCGCTATTCGCGAAAAACCTCAGGGGGGGGGGGCGGATATCCGCCCCCCCCGTCGGTGCGCGGGTTAAGTGAAAATAATACATCGTGATATAAACAAAGAACCTGAATTTTGAGGGATCTGGAAGCCTATATAAAACATGGAGCATGAATGTGAAGTTCAAAGACGTGCTATGATGATCTGACGGATCGTATTATTACATGACACTCACGCTGTGCCGGTAACACCGCTGAGTCTAGCGCCAAAGGTATCATAGGGTCAGCACTCAGCGCTGTAACCCGGCACCCGTTGTGGCCACGTGCACTGTCAGCTGGCTGGGAGCCCGGCACTCGGCAGTGGGCCGCTCGGACCCCTCCCCCACCCGGCTCTGCCCCGACAGCCGCTGGCGTCGCGCCAGTGCCGCCGTCAGTGCACGCAAAAACGACACGCACACTGGCCTGGAGAGGCGAGCTGCGGCACCATCAGAACCTCGGGGGTTGGTCTCCCCCCCCCCCCCCGAGGCGGACCAACGGCACGCACACTGGAAAAGTGGGGAGAGCCACCCGCTCAAGGGGTACTTTTTCATGTGCCACACGGGCTATATCTAAGTGGATCCTTTCTGTTTTGGATACGTTGAGGAACATGCATTCGAGCAGGCGTTGCATAGCCAGGGATCGGCTTATTTGCAAGCTATCGGTTCGAACTTGACTGGCTCATTATGCATCGGTAGGCCAAGACGGCGCCCGTGACCGCGCTGGTCGGCCCCCGGTGAAGGTCACCCCGATCTGCGTTGTATACATTCGGGGCCGGGCCGCGGCTCTGGAGTGTCCTGCCGGTCTGGTCGGTGTGTCTCCGGGCCAGCGGCCGGCCCTGTCCGCTGTCTGGCGCCCCGGCCGGCCGCGGTTCGTCTCTCACTCCCGGCGCTGTGGCACCGACGGCGGCTGCTCCGGGGATCGCGGCTGAGAGGCGACATCGGAGGACGTCCGGCGGTGAAACTCTGCAGAGATGACGGTGAGTTGCCGCGGACCGCCAGCGGCCAGTGCCGCGCTGCTGCAGAGCCGCGGTTGTTTATTTCGGGCCGATGCCCAATGCCCATGGACGGCGGCCAGCGCGCCGGCCTCTCCTCCAGCCCCGGGTCATGTCCTGTCGCCACCGGTCAGCTGGCCGTGAGGCAAGCTGTGCACCATGCTTTGGGAGGAAATTGGAGATAAGACGTGTTATATTTGCTCTTCAATGTTATCGTAGCTCAAAAAGTAGAGTTTTAAAATACCTATTCTGCGGGGTGTTCACGGGCACCGCACACTGCTGCGTGCGGTGTGTGCGGTACGTCCAGCAGGCGTGGGGGTAGGGGATGGGTAGGCGGCTCTGACGTCACGGCTGCGTGCGGTGGACGGTCCGCTGTGGCCAGTCCAGGGGGGTACGCTCCGGCTGTTTAGCATTATGAAAAATGGTGACAGACGTTTGTGGAGGATTGTCGACGAACTCTTGTTCCGTGAGCAGTACTTACACGCTAGCGGAAAATTCACCAATCAGCGCTCGGCGGTACTCGACGCTGATTGGTCCGACGCTCGTGACGAAATTGCGGGGGACCGCAGTTATTCTCTATGGACCCGAATAGGCTTTTGGATTTCGGAGGGGTTTCTTTAAAATTATATGCTGTTTCGAGCTGTTTTCGAGTTGAAATATATTTCTTATGACTGTTACCTATATAATGGCACCATAAAATCATGATTTTGATAAATATTACCGATGAAATATCGGCCGAAAAGACATGCTGTCATGGTACGGACTGCCCTGCGGCTGATGTGGGGTCCCTAATGCCAGCGTATGGTAATAATGGGGTGACGAAGGGTTATTGGAGACTCTTAGAGCCCCATCAGCATTCAGCATAGGGTCATCAGAGGCCGGGAACGTCCATCAGGGGTCTGAGTAGGCCTGTCATAGGGGCATATATGACACATCATGGCCCATGGGTCAATGTAGATCCATGGGGCCGTTGAAGGGCCATCATTGTTCAGCGTGGGCTCGCAATTACCTCTGATGGGCATATGCCGTGCCCCGATGGACTAACGCTGGCCCCTGATGAACCATCACCAGCCCCTGATAGGTCTACAAAGCCCACTGCTGGGTCTAAATTGGTCACTGATATGCCCAAATGGGCCACTGAGAAACCCGTACAACATCCCCTGACTGCACCTGCTGGACCAGTGCCGTCCTCTCATGGGCCCACCACAGCTCTTGAATGACCTTTTCAAGTCCCTTGAAGTGCCTTTATTGGCCTAAATGGCCCCTGATTGGCTTATGTGGTCCCTATTGGTCCTATATGGCCCCCCATGAGCCCTCAACGTCCCTAGACGGCCTTACATTATATGTCACTGGGCCCTGTTGGGTCAGCACCGGCCCCTGATAGGCTTGCACTGGACCCACCGGGCCTATACCGACCCATGAAGGGCCTATGTCGAGCCCTCATGGGCCTCCGATGACCACACGCCGGCATGTGTGGCCCCATCAGCAGTGGTCCGTCTATCCCATGTACTTACGGTCTTTTTGGTCGATGTGACACCGGTAGTATATAGAAATGTTATGATTAAATGTCGTTATTACACAGTCAAAAGTCACAGAAAGAATATCCAAGCTCAAAAATGGCCTCAAACCCAACAAAAACTGGTATAAATCCCCTTCAAAAGCCGTAAGTCTATTAAACGCCATAGGGGAATAGCTGCAGTCCCCCGCAATTTCGTCACGAGCATCGGGCCAATCAGCGTTGAGTATTGCCGAACGCCGATTGGTCGATTTCCGCTAGCCTGTAAATGCTGCTTGCGGATATAGTTTTGAACAAAAGAGGGTCGCGGCTACTAATTATCGCTTGTCACCACTTTTTCGTCGGGAGCGTTCTACCTGGTTTATATAGCCTTGGGCCAGTCCCGACCGGCCACAGCGGTCGCTGTGTGCGGTGACGCAAGGCTGACGTAGGGACGCAGTGAGCGGAGCTTGGAGGCTGTGTGCGGTCCCACCGCACACAGGGTCCGTGAACAGCCCTCTGTGGGCTATAGGGCCTTGCCGATAAAAAGGATGTGGATTTCATGGGGATAATTAAACTTTCTTAGGTTTTATTATTTTTCAGTGAAGTATGGCAGTGGATCAAAAATAATTATCACGAAGTCACCTGTGCAGGAGATTATACGCGTTTCGCATTATCTTGGTTATCGGATCGTTTTGCAGTTGTTTATCCTTGGTTTATCGTACGAAGCTGTCTGAGACAGCTATGGCGGAGCTGCGACGGACGCTGCGCAGCGGAACCCAGCTGTTGATCGCCACTTGCCGGCTCGCGCTCAAGCCGTGTGGGTTGTCGGCGGGGCTTATACTGATTCAAGTGTTAATTTTGTGTTTTAGCTGAGAATTTGCACATTCTTACTGCTGGAAATTTATTTTGCCTTTACTCTCAAGGCTCTTTGTGTTGATCGTACGTTTTGGTGTGGTCACAACCTTGCCTGCTAACAGTTGTTTAATTACTAGCTTTTTTATACGGAATTGATCCTATGAGCTGTACTTATATGAGAATTGACTTGGTTACTCAAGCACTGTAACCAGAAGATACTTGATAAAAAGGACATATATCCTAAGCTGAAAACTTGAAAAGTACTTAAGATGATTCGCTTATTGTCTGTGTCTGGTATGGTTTTACGGAACAACTTCAACAGGACATTTTCTACAACGAGAGTAAGTTTGTTTGTCTTCATGTTTTGTATCCATGTATACAGGAGTGTTAAGTCTTGGTTGGTTATATACAGGAGTGTTAAGTCTTGGTTGGTTATAATTCTTTCCATTGCTTCTTCATTGCATCAGAAATTGGGCTCATAAACTTATGTTTCTGAATGGCATACTTGTCAAAAGTTATATCCATGCTGGGTGCTTGCCTGTGTCTATGAAGTACTTAAAGATCAGTGGTTTGCCTAGATTTGCTTGGAATCCTGATTGCATTTTTGCCAAACTGACCAAACAATCTAAGAGATAATTGAATTGTGTAGTGCTCCACACCAACATATTTCGGTATTTATTTACTTTAGGTCCGCAAAACAGAGGGGTAAATAAAAGTCATTCACACGATACTCTGAGACCTCCTGATTTCATTTCTGATACTTATTCCTTCTAGAAACCAATTTAAAAGAACCAGTACACTAGTATCACCAGTATCACCACCAACGGCCCCACCTCCGACCGGAACTGCACGTGTCAAAAGACTGTCTGCGCGGCGCACCCGCTACAAATGGTCCAACCAAGGTTGAGCGAAATTACGGATGATAATAAATTGTAAGGAAAGTGACGTCAAAATAATCGAGGCGGAGCGGTGCAGTGCCGAAGGCAATGCCTTAGGAGAGATTACAGGCAATGGTAAGTCAAATATTTTTAGGTTAAGTGGTTGTGTATCTGGCTTCAGGCCGAAGGCCTGAAGCCTGATGCATAACCACTTAACCTAAAAATATTTGACTTACCATTGCTTGCAATCTATTCATGCAAGTCACTTTTTCCTTTTCCCCCAGTAGGCAAACATCAGTAGGTCAGGTTAGGTAAGGTTTGGTTATGTTCTGATCATTTTCTCATGCTCTATTACCTTTGCTAAATATTTTCTCTTTTTTATTCACCGTTTTTCTTGTGCTTTGGTATTATGATGTCATTTTCATAACGTCGAAAACTAATGAATATCCGCATCATTTTTTTCTTTTATAGGGCAGCGTTGTAAGTTTCGTTTTTGTCGCGGAAGCGTGCTTTCTTCAGTGTATATTGTGCAGCAGTGCGGTGTAATGTGCTGGGGTTTTAGTATCTTATTTTACATTTTTGATGCATTTAAGCATCATATCTGAATTCAGCATATCAAATAGTGTAAGAATGTGCATTTTTTCTTGTTGAAATAATATTGCGGACCTAAAGTAAATATTTACCCATATTTCATTTTGGCAATGAATGAGGGCATATGGCAAAAATTGAAAGGGATGCAATGTACAGTGTACACATCCAATAATTAAGGCTTAAGCTGCTTAAAGAGGTGCACTATTCATCTGACAGGTTTTCCAGCTAATGTTTTAGCTCTTGTTCTTTGCAGGACGAGCAGTTAGCTGAAACCGATGGCTGACTGCACCCAGGGAGAGCTGTGACTGTGCCTTGCTAGTTACTATGCCCTGGACTGACTGTTATGTTAGCTGTGACTGCCCCTGAACACTACCAGGGCTGGTTAAGACTCAGGCTGTGCCTGCCCCTGACTGTGCCCTGGCAGAGCTGTGACTGCCCCTGAGTGTACCCTAGCAGAGCTGTGACTGCCTCTGGCCACTCCAACCCTGTCCAGCAGAGCTGTTACTGCCCCTGATTTTCCCCGGCAGAGCTGTGAGAAGCTGCGTGTGGCCATCATCGGCCAGAGCTCGTTCGCCGGCGAGGTGTACAAGCTGCTGCGCAAGGATGGCCACACGGTGGTGGGCGTGTTCACTGTGCCCGATCAGGGCGCGCGCGAGGACCCCGTCGGTGAGTACCTACTGCGGTCACGGGACAGAGGGGTGGGCACAAACGTGGTCTGTAGAGGGAGAGAGAGAGTCGGCTAATGGCATGGTCATCGGTGCTGAAAGTGGATTTATCATTGACATCCGCGTGAGGGCGAGACGGTGAACGGCTCGGTCACCGGCTCTGTCGCTGAAGGACTCAAGCCGGAGTTGGCTGGTGTCGGAAATGTCGGTCGGTTGGTTGGTTTGGGTTGAGCACCATATCCGGTGGACTAAGGTGCTAACCGGAACTCTCACGCTGTTCCAAGCGGTCAGGCAGCGGCAATGCCACGTGCATTGCCCGGGAATCGTGGGAAATGTCGATAAATGTCCGTCATTGTAACTTACGTGGTGATGTGCTCGCTGCCGACACAGGAGAGACTCCGGGTGTGTTCAGTGATATAGCCATCGCTCGCGACTCGCGAATTATCTTCATCTCGTAACTGCCGTGGCTATGTTAATTCATTGTTACTTGCGGCATTATGAAGCTATAGTGAAGCTGTTTTATTTTACGGCTTCTGCAATGTTTGCATTTTATCGACTTAGTATTTGAGTTATCTGATATTTCTTCCGGGCCCGGCGTCCTTAGTCAAGTTTCTGCATGCTCAATTGTTCATTGCTCAACTTTTTTTTACCTCATATTGAACGCCATTATTTCATGTGGCGTCCTCATACGTTGTATGCCATGATAATATGCACAGCACTGTATAAAACGTTTTCGAAACGGAAACATTCGTTACACTGCCCAAAACTTTCAGTTAGGTCGTTGCATTCCATCACAAGGTTATACGCAAGAGCTATTGTGTCTTGTCTCATCGACCCTGTCAGGTCCGGCCCGTACCCTCGTCCATAGGGGGATGCCCAACCCTCCTAAATAATGCCCTCTGCTCGTGCCCCTGGCTCGGTAGCCCGACCTGACTCTGGGTCCGTCCCGTAACCCCCGGGTGGACCGGCCGGCCCGGCCTGCCATGACTGTATGTACCCGTCGGCGGACCAGTCAGGCATGCAGTGGCCGTGCATGTATGTTTGGCTCTACTGATACGGTCGCCAGGCTGGTCCGCGAGGCGGCGCCGGCCATGAACCGGCTCTCTCCGGTAAATACCGGTTGTAACCGGCTGCGCCCAGAACCGAAAGCTGTCGTGTCAGCATTCGGGCCGGCCATGAGCTGCCACGAGGGAGCTCGCCAAACGCTGGCGAAAGCAGGCCACGGGTCGTTAATGTTTGGAAGACAGTGTTTTGATGTTATACTCGCACTGTTATATTATCGTTGCGGTTCTATTGCTGTACGGCATACGACCTCTATCGTAACCGATCCATTTATCTTTCCATGTTACTCCATTGCAAAAGAGCAGTTTAGAATGTGCAGCTTAGCTTTATGTGACCATGTGCATAGTCCCAGTCTGTGTCGCAGACAGTGGTCAGCTCCTCCAGCGCGTGTGGTCTGCTTTCTCTGGTGCACGGCAGTGCATGCATTTTGCGTTCGTGCCGTCTGCACTCTGTTGTAGGGGAAGAGCGGGGCCAGTTGAACCACTTTTTATATATTGACATGCACAGCGAGATCTAGTTGTCATATCGAAAAATGCACAATGCCATGAAAAAATATGCTCTTTTGGCTTTATTTTAAGATATGTAAAATTATGTTTCAAACATATTTTGCTGCCAAACGCATGCTTATAAAACAGCTCTACGCCCGTTTCAAATGACCCCGATGCGAGGGTCAATTGAACCAGCCCATGGGGTCAATTGCATCTATCCTTAACCCGCGCACCGACGGGGGTCTGCGCCAACTTAGTACCGACGGGGGGGGGGGGGGGCGGATGACCGCCCCCCCCTGAGATCTCGAGAACGAAGCAAGATAGCGACAAGCGGTAAACGGCATCGGATACGCACGGTCAAGATCTACAATTTTTTACTAAGGTCATTTTCAGGTCAGGTCAAAGATGACGTCACAGGGGTCGAAAAAGTCAAAATGGCGGCGCTAAATATGGAGAGAGTTTTTCTCGAATAACTTTCGAATTAGTCAAGATAGGAACAAACTAAGGGCATCATCGTGATCCTCTCGTCAATCCGCATCGAATGATATATATGTTGACCTCGAAAGGTCAAGGTCAAAGGTTGACCTCAGGTCACGTGACCTCGAGGTCATCATGTATATCATTCGATGCGTCTTGACGAGCTGAACACAATGAGACCATCCACGCGTCTGTATCTTGTTCCTGTACGGAGTTATTGGCCAAAAACCTTTGGTGACCTTTGATGACGTCACATGACCTCACAGCTGCCCAACAGCAAAACAGACCTCAAGGTAGTGAAGGTTGATCGTATATGAAGTCATGTATGGTATATGGGGCCATTCCGACCCGTTTTAGTGGTAAAAACAGGGAGTTGATTTTTCCCCCATTGACTTATAATGGGGAGGTCGCGAAATTGACCTGACCTTAGGTCACCCATATCAAAATTCCGAGATATACAAATTGTAGCTACTAATGACCTAATAACATCCTGCGACTTTCAAAGGCCTCCGACATCTACTGTAGCTCTGGCACGGTGACAAAGTTGCAAAAAAGTGACTTGAGGTTGGGTCATTCAAAGTGACCTGGTGACCTGACCTTGAAAGATAGGAGGTTCAAACTTGCACACCATGTGTAAAATTGATAAGGGAATAGTCATACCAAATTTCGCGGCGCTACGCGCCGCGGTTTTCCCGCTATTCGCGAAAAACCTCAGGGGGGGGCGGATATCCGCCCCCCCCCCGTCGGTGCGCGGGTTAACAATGGGATGTTTTCCTCATTAAGGCCACTTTCTTAAGGAGATATTTTGTCCGGTTTACTTTTCCAAATGCTACATTCAATAGGTCGTTGGAAAGCTAAAAGTGCAAAGTTCCTCATAATAGGCGACATAAAGTACATAGACTATGGTAAAATGGGCGGATGAGAAAAATGAGAAATATATCATGCTATAGTGTGCTTTCAAGCAAAAAGCTGGAGAAAAGGGGGTCAAAAATTGAGCTCTATTAAACTACTATTTCAGTTTAAAAGCTCATTTCAAAGGTGAACTCAGGGGCGTAGGATCCTATACAGTTGGGGGGGCTTCAGCCCCCCCAACCTGCTGGTCAGCCCCCCCAACTTGCCAGGCAGCCCCCCCAACATTATAAAATATGGACAAATTAAGAAAGCTCAACTTGGCAAAGTTACAATTTTGGGTAGTAGTAAAGCAGGCGTCACACTTCTTTTTGTAACCAAGGAGATGCGCAGCTGTAGGTTAGGCTGTAGGGTGTAGGTTTTAGGTTTTAGGTGGTAAATTTTAGGTTGTAGGTTGCATGTTTTGGTTGTAGGTTGTAGGTGAGTTTAGGTCAGGTTTGGTTAGGTTTGGTTTGGTTTGGTCCGATTAGAAAGCATCTCTGGAGTCTCGGTAAAGCGCCTCTCTGCTTTACGACTAACTACCCAATCTTGGCCTTAAAACTAACTGGGGGCTTTGAAAATGTGCATTACAATGGAGAGAGTAAATTTAATTTATAAAATGACTTTCGAGTCATTAGAAAGAACATACTAGCAAAACAAAACCAGGAGGGTAGGTACACATAAAAATCAACTGTGGTTTTAGCAAGCCTGAAATAATCAATTGGTCAGCATGTTACACCAGTACAGCAGGCGTCACCAAGCAACTTCGGTTGCCGTTGCGGTATTTTACAAGAACGGTTATCTCACCTCCCGAACGTTGTCACACCTTTTTTGTAACAAGACTATAAATAGTAAAATAGAGGTGAAATCAAGGCCGGTGAAATATCATCAGCTGATTATGTTTATGATTATGTCAAATCATTAAAATGATAACGTCATAATGAATAAAAATAAACTGGCATTATCTTAAAAGGATTTGGTGAAAGAAATTTGCACATTCACTAACTTTTAAATGTTTTTTCATCTTTTTTCTCTAAGATATCTCTTATGTCTCGCCTTCAGAAGAAGGCCAAATCCTTTTTACGGAATTTGACGCCATCGCAGACATAATCAGCTGACGATACAGCACAAAACCTTTGGATGTTACTATGCGTGCCTTCGGCATCCGGATAATCAGGGAAAATTATCCGGCATCAGCGATAATTATCGGGGATTACGTTCGGTATCGCGATAATGAGACATGTTGAAGATAGGCACCCACCAATAATTTTCCGGCCGAGAATATCCAAACGATATTTTCCGGATACCGAACGCACGCTAAAGCGGCGCAGAAAGCAGAAAAACACAACAAAACAAAGGCGCGACACTTAACAGCTTCGTTTCGTTTGTTTAGGGGTGGGTGCAAGGCCATGTGGGTGGAACTCGGACGATAGGACGAACGATGAGGACAATTGTTCAGGGACGTACCCAAGATGGACGGGGTGCCCCCCCCCCCTCGGGGTTTTCAGGAGGCCCCCGTGGGCCGAAGGCCACGGGGCCAAAATCACGTCGGAGGCGAAATAAATTCAAGGGAATCCCAAAAATCACGTCAGGATATTCAGGGCCTCTGACCAGCCTGACAGCTAGGGTCCTTCTTACTTCCTGGGGCCTCCTGTGAATAACTGCTAGTGTCTGTGTCTGACCGCTAGGGCCCCTCTGACTCCTCAGTAGAAAGGAGGCCCTCTGTAAGAGGAGAGGAGGCCCCTCTGTAGAGAGGAGGCCCCTTTAGAGAGGAGGCCCTTTTAGAGAGGAGGCCCTCTGTAGAAAGGAGGCCCTCTGTAGAGAAGAGACCATCTGTAGAAAGAAGGCCCTGTGTAGAGAGGAGGCCCTCTGTAGAAAGGAGACCGCCTGAAAGCAGAAGGCCCTCTGAAGAGAGGAGGCCCGCTGTAGAGAGGACTCCCTCAGTAGAGAGGAGGCCGGAGGCCCTTTGCAGAGATGAGGTCCTCTGTAGAGAGGAGGTCCTCTGAAGAAAGGGTGCCCTCTGAAAGAGATAGACCCTCAGTAGAAAGGAAGTCCTCTGTAGAGAGGAGGCCTTCTGTAGTTGATAGGCCCTGTGAAAAGAGGAGGCCCACAGTAGAGGGGTGGTCCTCTCTAGAGAGGAGGCCCCTCTGTGTTTTGATTTTTTTTTTTTTGCAAATTTGTGTACGTACAGGTCAATACGAGATCGTGACTGTAATTACACCAACCAACCGTGTCAAATTGAATCAGAATTCATATGTGTACTATGGAGTGTGAAGGAACTCCGGCTTGTACTACCATACTAAAAGAGTTATAAAATTTGTGATTTGGAGCAGTGTTTTGACAAATGCTTTTGCAAATTTTCTCGGCGCTCCGCGCCTCCGATTCATACACCAATCAATAAGAAAGGTCGTGGCTGTAATAACACCAACCGTGTCAAATTGAATCAAAATTCCCTAAGTGTCAGTATAGTCGACTACAGAATGATGTTCCACTCCTCAGAAGCATCAGTTGACTGGAGCGCTAGTTGTGCTGTTTATCACGCAATTAAGCGCCTGTCGATTGTGAGCATTAGGACAAAGTTATAATTTGTGAACTCAGCCCGTGTAATGCGGCACAGCCTACCACTCCAGGCAAATATTTGCCTGTGAAAAGTGGAACATCATTCTTTAAAAAAAAACGTTTTTTTTTTTGCAAATTTTCGCAGCGCTTCGCGCCGTCGGTTCGTTAACAAGTCAATAAGAGAGGTCGCTACTGTATGTTACTAATGCATTAGGCTAAAAGTGCGGTAAAAATATCAACTTCTATGTTTTTAAGTCGGTCGATACGCCCCCCCCCCCCCCAAGTAAGAAATCCGTGGCGACGCACTTGCATAGGTGGATTTAACTAAAACTACTGAGCCGAGTGACTTATAACGATAAAGCTTCATCTTATAGAAACGGCGAAGACGAAATGCCTTTTGATCTCGACATACTCGCTCCCCTCCCCCGGTCGTCAGAATTCATCCATCAGACCCGTCATATCGGCCGACCTGTAACCCCCCCCCCCCACAAAAACGTTCGCCTAGATCCTCCCTTGCCCTCTGTAGAGAGGAGGCGCCCTGTAGAGAGGAGAGAAAGCCCCCCCCGGATCCTCCGCCCCCCCCCCCCTTGGCCAAATCCTAGGTACGTGCCTGCAAATGTTTCGTGCATTTTGGGAGTATTCGTGTGGTTACACGACCTGCAACTTTAAAAACAAAATTATGCTTCCAATGATATGCAGAATGCGGGGGTTTTGCGAAATACTACAACAGAAATTGTTCTGTGACTGTCCTGTTTTACCGATCACGATCCGCCTACTTTGTCGATACCGCTATCGTGGCCCTAGAAGTAGTCGAGGAGGTCCCTGAAACAGCCAAAAGGGAGCCATTAAACAGTCTACAATCTTTACACAAAAACTTGACCCTTCCGAAATGAAGTGGGGGATTGGTGAAAAGTGAGTACCTACCTAGATTTTAGGAAATTGCAGGGGTACCTCCAAGGAAGCCCTAAAACAGTTTGCCAAACTAGGGGATAGGAATCTAAATACTGAATCAATCAAGAAATTGAATCTCTCATCAGCCTTAAGTATAAGAAGAGCATACATATACCGTTTTAGTGGCATCACTTTGCATTTGAAAAGAGCGGGAACATACACTGCATAAATGTGGTTGCAAAACGTTGAGCCGGAATATAAATACCTACGCCTTATTTTATAAGCCTGAACTTGGATCCAGGGGGAGAGCATAAGTCACATCACTCAAGTCCGCTTTTCACCACCATGGTCCACGCTCCCTCCCCCCCCCCGGTCAACACCTTTTCCACTGCTGGTTTTTCCTGCCCCCCCCCCCCCCCCCGCTCAGCAACTTTCGTCGCCGCCCCACCGGCGCGGCGTCCGGGTTCAGCCCCCCCAACCTATTTTGCGATCCTACACCCCTGGGTGAACTATTTCCTTTAATGTTTACAGCCCCTGAACAATAACCATGGCAAAGGTCACCGGGGTCCATTGAAACGGCCTGTGGCCCTGTTTTAACTGACCCTCAGAGAAGCGTTTCAATTGACCCCATCCGCTCCCGCCATCTCGCACGCGCCGTAAAGCACATGTCAAACGAGCTGGAGGGACGGCATCATGCTGAATGAAGGGCCAAATAAGGTGTTATTCCGGAGCCAGGAGTTCTTCTTTCAGCAAACAAAGGTATATGAGATATCACAAAATATTCATAAAAACGATTTCTCCCAAACGCCCCTCAAAAACACAAAAACAAGTGTCAAATCAAAATTACCGTGCGTTTGCCGCCCAAACGCCGTTGACAAAGGAAGTGGTCGAGCGCGGATGCGCAGTGGTGTCGGCAACGCCATATGTTGCATATTGTTGAAAATAAAGCCATGTTTCATCTGACCCCGTGTTTCAACTGGCCCCGCTCTCCCCTACGAGAGTGCACGCTCCTGAGATTGACCTCCCGGCCGTTGGTCGCGGCCCCGCCGGACCGGCGCGCAGTGCAGCGGAGGGGTGACCGACCCCCGCCGGGCCCCGAGGGGTGTGTCCGCCAGAGGGGCCCTGAACGTGATGGCTCGCCGGGGGTGTGTCCGACTCTGAACGTTTATAAACACTGCCTCGCCAAGGTCGCCTCAGTACGAGCCAGAGTGGTTGACGTAGTTCCCCCCCCCCCCCCCCCCCAGAGACGGGACCGAGAGGGGAGAGGAAGTGGCTACAAGATATTGTAGCCGCTTATTCGTTCGATGCGCCGATTATACCGATGTTTCTTTACCGATAAAAGATTTGCAGTAAACACGCAAATTTTAAACTTTATTCATATACCTACCTACATACGAAAAAAGAATTCACTACAGGAAGCTGACAAGTGCATGCGAGGACTCTTTTTATGATGACGCTTTTACACAGCTGTTCAGTATTTTATTCATTTAGGCTCATCTTGCCTTTTGGCTTTCATCCCGTCCTCCCCGGCACCCTGTTTTAGGCCGGTGCTTTTTGGTAGTTAATCGTCCCCAATGCTGATAACAGGTGCGCTATTCGTGATTGCCCCTGTATTATGCCTCTGCTTTGGTAGGTAGGTGGTCCTATCATTCCTCCATTGCACGTAATTTCATTGCACGGCGTGCACCATATCCGTCTCAATTCAATGGCCTGCGAACTGTCCATGCTCATTGCTCAGCCAATGGTGGTAGGGTGACCTGGAACCCGAGCTCTGCGCTTCCCTGTGCCCCAGGGGTCGAGGGGAACGTCTGGTCCGTCTGACCCCTCCCCGGGCGGGGACCCTCTCCGGTCGCAGGGGCTCACCGAGTGTCTGCAGGAGCCGAGGCCTGCAACCAGTGTTTGTCGCCCTAGGTACTGGGCATGGATCCGTTATTTGGAACTCGATGTAAGCCCTGACACCAGAGTCGGTTAGATACATTGTCAGGGTAGAATTTTCCTACCTCCGGCTAGCTGAACTCGAAAACTATGTGATCATACCAGCGTATGACGCAGTTCTGTTGGTGCGCCAAAGTCGTGAGAAGCAGCTGTTGGTCCGATTTAGGACAGGGGGATGCGCTGTACTGCTGTTTATATCACATTGTTCGAGAATCGGGGCAGTTCTGGGTGTCAGAGCTATTTAATTGAAAATGTTATTGGTTGATTCGCTTATTGAAATCAATCTCAAACAAGGATTCGTATAACCTCTGGGTCACCATTTACCATCACCGTCTAAACATTGCGTCCCCGTGTAACTCTCCCGTGTGCTCCTCCGACAGCCACGACGGCGGCCGCGGATGGCGTGCCCGTCTTCAAGTTCAAGTCGTGGCGCAAGAAGGGCGTGGCGCTGCCCGAGGTGCTCGAGCAGTACAAGTCGGTGAACGCCGAGCTGAACGTGCTGCCCTTCTGCAGCCAGTTCATCCCCATGGAGGTCATCAACGCGCCGCGACACCAGAGCATCTGCTACCACCCGTCGCTGCTGCCGCGCCACCGAGGCGCCTCGTCCATCAACTGGTAACCGCAGAGGATACTGAGCTGACGGGTGGAGGAGGGTGGGAGCAATTACGCTTGGGACATTCACGTAGCACATGACGTTTCACTGGCACATACATGGTAAATTCAATTACTTCCTAAGCCTTTTCCCTTTGAAATATATTGTTCGCCCTCACACAGGAAATCCTCTTTTAACGATAGGTTGGTAGGTATCTTCAGTTCCTTGTCGTCCATCCGACGTGGATACTTCACGGAACTATTTGCTACTCCGCTTCTTAAGCGCACTATGAAACTTTAAATGCCGAGCTGCTGAGAACCTCTGGGCCGCCCAGCGTCCAGTAGCGTGTTTTGTCCGCTCCTGAGCGGGCGGCTAGACTACTTTTTACCGGTGGACCTGTTTTTGTGCCGGTGTTGGTTTCTGGGCGGAGGTCCCGTTCGTTGGACATTTTCCAGGAGTTCTCTCCACTATGTAGTCTGCAATTTAAATATAAACGGCTTCCACTGTCATAAAGCTCTGGCCAACGACTATTGGATATGGTTAGGCAAAACCCATATTCTCGTTTTCTTTGTTTCTCGCTTTAATGCTTGTCTTCTATGACGTATGACTCGGGCAACCCACTAACCTTCCAGGCGGTGGGGGGGCATTTTTTTGCCCCCCTTTAGTTTTTTCGATATATCTCGAGAACTGCTGCGCCGATCGTCACCAAACTTTCAGTACCCTTCCGGGAGCAGCTAGCGCACATGGTGACCAAAAATTTTTCCAAAGGCTATGATAGGTTGGCCGCTAATGACGTCAGAGTGACGTCATTTTTGCCATTTTCGACCCAAAAAAAGGTTTCGCGGGAAGAGCTGTCAGGACTACAGCTTTAGAGATACAGAAAAATGTTTCAGACATAAAAAGTGTGGAATTAAAAGGGCTACAAAACTGCCATTTCGGTTTTTCGAAATTTTTGGATTTTGACCCCCAAAAATCAAAACATAGATTTTTTGAATATAATAGCAAAAAAATCCTTTTTTTTAATTTCGAAAAAACCGGAATTTATGTGATAGCCCCTACCGCCTTCTATCTACATACCAAATTTGAGATCGATACCTCTTTTTTTTGGCCAAGTTATAGCGAAAAAACTGTTCAAAATTGATGACGTCAAATTTTCAAACTCAATTTTTAGCAATTCTAGACCTCGTAGCGCAAAACAAAGACCACCATTAGACTCCCCGTGACGAGCTTCATCGAATCGATACCCATTTTATGCAAAAATATCAACTTTGAAATTTGACCATTTTTGACCTGACCTTGACCTGACATCCACCAGAAAGTTACCTAAACCGTACCTGATGGTCTTATAACCAACACCATTGAGTTGGAAATGAAAAACTGGCCATAAAACATGCATCGCATAACCTTAGTAAAGTTGGGCTCATGTGGTGACCCTTGGTGACCTTTGGTGACCTGACCTGTGACCTGGTATGACCAGTGACCTCTAATAGCAACATATGTACTAGACAACTGACGCCTTATCGCTGATTTTCGACAAAATGCGTTTTACTCGGTGTCATAGCGCTTTCCCTAGAAGCCCCGTGAACGGTGAAACATTTTATCTTTGACCTGACCTGTGACGTCATCGGTGACCCCGAGGTCAATGAAATTTGGTTTCCTTCGACAAATTTGACAGGGCTATCGAACGCCGTTTGAATTTTCCGGATCCGTCCAGTAGTTTCGGAGATACGGGGGGGGGGCAAAAAAGTGCCCCCCCCCCCCCACCGCGCGGAAGGTGGCTGGTAGGCCCACCGCCTGCCGGGCTACAAGAAGGCGGGCTTCTCGATCTTCTGTAATCAGTGACCTGCCACCTGTGACATACCACCTGTGACATACCACCTGTGACCTCCTGTGACCTCCTGTGACCTGTGACCTGTGACCTCCCGCTCAGGACGCTGATGTGCGGCGACAAGAAGGCGGGCTTCTCGATCTTCTGGGCGGACGACGGCCTGGACACGGGCCCCATTCTGCTGCAGAAGGAGTGCTCCGTCGACCCGGACGAGACGGTCGACACGCTCTACAACAAGTTCATGTACCCGGAGGGCATCAAGTCCATGGTGAGCAACGCGGGCTCACGGCCGCGGGTCGGTTGTTGGTGATGCTTTTTCTCAGTTGACAAGTAAAGCGAGTTCTAAGATCCTAGTCTCTAGGTAATTCTGAAGCGATTTATGAGATCCTTTAAGTGCCTTTCCCTGCGAGTGCTTAGGGCCCGAATTACTGATGCCTTGGGTCCGATGTGTTTGAGGTGAGTCAGGTGCCGGTAAACAGACGCTCGACCCTCTTACGCTTAACGGCCTCTCTGACGCTTGCCCTTGCTCCGCTGACGCTCACATCTGCCAGCCCTGTCCGCCTTTTGACACCTCTGAAACTCGCCCTTGTTCGTAGCCTTACACGCCCTCCTAACGCTCTCCTTCGACCGCCTTCGATGCTCGTGTTTTCGACTTTTGACTGTCCCGTTCGTCACCTTTGACGCTCACCTTTCCCCTCTGACGTTCGGCTTTACCTTGTTTCAGGCTGAGGCGGTGAATATGGTGTCCGCGGGCACTGCGCCGCGGGTGCCTCAGACAGAGGAGGGTGCCACCTACGACCCGTTCCTCAATAAGAAGGAACTAGTGCGTCTGGACACCGAGCGGCCGGCCGAGGACATTCACAACTTTATCCGAGGGCTGGACAGCTCGCCCGGTGGGTGGGAGAGAGAGAGGGGGAGGGAGGGAGAGAGAGAGGGGGAGAGGGATGGAGGGGGAGAGAGAGGGGGAGGGAGGGAGAGAGAGAGGGGGAGAGGGATGGAGGGGGAGAGAGAGAGAGAGAGAGAGAGAGAGAGAGAGAGAGAGAGAGAGAGAGAGAGAGAGAGAGAGAGGGAGAGAGAGAGACGGAGACGGAGACGGAGACGGAGGTGGCTGTGGGAGGGGAGGGAGGGAGAGACGACGGCTCGACTGCCGAAGACATGATTTGTATTGTTTGATGTCCGCCACCCGGCGTTGCAACCCGCCGTATGTGTTCAGAGTAAACAGTACCGACATTTCTCGTAGCTGTTTGTCGCGCGAGTTATTACGGAGAAGCCGAACTTGCCACGCCGGAGCCCCTCCGTCGTTTGACCTCTCGGTTGTTGATAGATTCCCCTCATAGGGTTGCGTCAGCATATGCCACATTAGTGCCCAATGACCCCATATCCCGGCCAGACGAGTCTGCAAGGCTGCCGTCCATAGGAGTTTGATTCATAAATGACGATGTCATGGTCCATCTCGCAGTTACACTAAACCGTTTTACTCAGCTGCAATCCAACGAAGTACAATAAAGAAGACAAATTTTTTTAGCTGTTTCGTCCCTAATAAGGTTACCTTTCCATCCGTCTCCATCACTGATCCATCTGCTTTCCCCGTCTCCAGTACTGACCGTTTCCTTCCTAGTTCCTACCCTTCTCACCCCACCGTAGATCACTTCGTCTCTTCATATCTGACACCCATTTCCTCCCCGTTCTTACCACTACCCCCGCCTCCGCCCCTGTCTCTGTGACTTTCCCCGTCTTCCCGTCCCCACTGTTGACCTCTCCTCCCACTCTACAGGAGCCTGGATCATGATGGACGGTAAGGAGACCAAGCTGTACGGCTCGAAGCGCTTCTCGGGGCCGAAGCCGACCGGCACCGAGGTGGCCATCGAAGGCTGTGACCGGCCGGGCGTCATCTGCTCCCACGGACTCGTCATCACCGGCTCGGACGGCAAGATGGTGAGGGAGGACTGGGTGGACGGGCTGGGACTGGCAGGACTGCAGGGTCCCTGGAGGTTCTGGCAGACGTAGTGAGTCGAATCGTGTGATAGTGACATGGCAGAGAGGGATACCGATGGTTTAACCCGCGCCCTGCTGGGGGGGGGGTTACCCTTGTGGTTTTTCGCGAATATCTCAAAAACGGAGGCGCGGAGCGCCGCCGTTTTTTACACCTTATCATGCATCAATTCTACACATGTTGTAAAAATTTCAGACCAAGGTCATTCAAGGTCAGGTCACCAGGTCACTTGAAGTGACCTCACCTTATAAAAAGTTTCAATGTCTGTCATAGCTACACCGAGTGACCGATCGCTTTGAAACTTTCAGCGATTGCTAAGAGCAATAGCATGTACAAAATGTTTATCTCAGAATTTTGATATCGATGACCTAAGGTCAGGTCAATTTTGCGACCTCCCCATTATAAGTCAATGGGAGAAAATTGAAATGCGCCTATTTTGGACGAAAGACATTATAAACACTCCCAAACACTGAATTTCAAGTGGTTTAGACACACTGAACATGAAAATGGTGTTCGTGACCCCTGTTTATGCCCTGAGGTCATCTTAGGTCACGAATGGTATCTAACAGTTTTTCGCAAATAACTTTTGATAGAGGCATGCTAGAGCGATGAAAACGCCTTAGAAGTGTTCAGCTCGACAATACGGATCGACTGATATGCAACATGACCCTTTCCAGTCAGGTCATGACCTTGACCTGAGGTCAAATTTTCAAGTTGACCTCTCAAGGTCAAGTTATAGTTCATTCGATGCGTCTTGACGAGAGGAACAAGATGCCGGTAAAAGTAAGCTCTTACAAGGCTGGGGTCAAAAGTTATTGCAGAAAAACTGTTTCCGAAAAATCGGCTATTTTTGCAGTTTTTGCCCCCTGCAGGCAAAACCGTTGACGTTAGGTCAAATCTGAGAAAATTACTCAGAAAGGGCGTTAATAGGGCTATCGAATGCGCTTTTCCGCGGCGCTTTAGCTCTATTGGTTCCCGAGTTATGCGTTGGCTTCTTGGAAATTGTCGACATTCGACCTGGAAATCGGCGAAATTTTGCCTTCAGTGACCTCTGGTGACCTGACCTTTGACCTGACCAAAAAATTGACCTAAGTGATTTCCTCATTATTTTTGACGCTCTTTCGAACGCCGCCTTCCGCGTATCGCTACTTGGCCCAGGAGCCGAGTTACAAGGGGGGGGGGGTGTTCAAACACCCCCCCCCCCAGCAGGGCGTGGAAATCCAGGACCCCCAGCCGGGCGCGGGTTAAGAGAGTAACAGTGCCTCGTGATCGTGACAGCTGCGTTTTTTTTAAGAATTGTGAATTGCTTGCGATGGGAGGACATTCGGTAGAAGGTAGTGAGAGCTATTGTTAATTTGCTTTGTATGGGTACGAATCTGCAGTTAGTTTTCCTCAGTTTGCATTTTTCGTGTAGCCAGCCGTGGGTGGTAGCTGTGTTCTGATAGATGAGTGCCTATTTTACTACGGTGATCTAATAACGATGCCGACTCCAGGTGTCGGTGGCGCGTCTCTCCGTCGAGGGTAAGTTCGTGCAGGCGGCCAAGTACGGCCAGGCCGAGGAGAGCCGCGAGCGACTCGAGCTGACCGCCGAGGAGACGGCCGTGGCAGAGGACCTCCGAAAAACCTGGGCCGACATCCTGAAAATCGACGTCAGCGACGAGACTGACTTTTTCGTGGCCGGCGCCGGCAGCATGGACGTCGTGAGGTGAGACTGAGGAGACGGGGAGAGGGACGTGAGTTGCGAGATGTTTTTGGCCGGAGTTTTATTCTTTTTGTTTAGTGTTCGGCCTCTGTGCTATGTTTTGTGACGGGCTAACCTTACGATGGCATTGGTGACACGAATCAGACTTTTGTGTGTTAGTTTTAATTCTGAAGGACTACTTTCCCCATTCCCTTTTTTTGCGATTTAACATGAAACATTTTTCGGGAATGATTTGCTTTCTTTTTTACAATAATAAAAGCATAACGTTGACCTGTCGAAGACCTCTGTACACCAGGTTTACAGAGGTCAAGGACCTGTCAATGATCGACAGAATTAGATGATTCCCATTTCCCAACAATGATCGACAAAATGAAAAAGCCCAAACGCTTCTCCTGCCACCATAATGCGCCACAGATCGCGCTCCATGACCTGACCACCATGCCAGACCGCCCTGCCGACCCGTTCCCCGCTTTCCGCCCTGATCTGACCCCCTTACTCTCGTCAGGCTGCTGGAGGAGGTGAAGATGAAGTCGGGGGTCGAGCTGCAGAACGAGGACGTCTTCATGGCCTCCAAGTTCGACGACTTTGTACAGACAGTGGTGTTTGTGGCCCGCGGCGGCAGCCTGAAGCCCGAGTTCACCTATGACGCCATCAAGATGCACGTCAACAACATGGACATCTCGTTCCCGCACCAGGTGGGGCCGAGAATCGCGATAGAGGCGGCGGACGGAGGGAGCGGATTCAGTTAGTTTTGGGTCTTAATTCGGCGTATCTTTTATTGCCCATACGGGCTTATTACTATTTGCTCATTGCTGATGTTTTTTTCCTCTCGACAGATGGGTGGCTTTAAGTGTTTCACAGTGTTACCGCTGCATGTTGACTTCATTTAATTCAGCGCCATTGTCTAAACTGGCTCAAACTCCGCCAATGGCGTGACGTGTTCTGTCGATGTATGCATATTATTACATATTGTCAGCATGGCAATTCTCTTTTTTTTTTTCGATCATCTCGTCACCCATAATTTCTTTTCAACAATTCTCTCAGTGTTCTTTGATGATGTGCACACTGCGCGTTACCCTTGGCTCGGCTAGACCTCCAGCATCTCATACGACCCGCCACCGTCCGTGTCCACAGATCTTCATCAACAACGAGTTCACGGAGAGCAGCACGGGTCGACAGATCACCTCCATCAACCCGGCCGACGAGTCGCCCATCTGTGACGTAAGGACGGTGTTATAAACAGGGGAGGGGTCTAACACGGGTCGACAGATCACCTTCATCAACCCGGCCGACGAGTCGCCCATCTGTGACGTAAGGGCGGTGTTATAAACAGGGAGGGGGGGGTCTAACACGGGTCGACAGATCACCTCCATCAACCCGGCCGACGAGTCGCCCATCTGTGACGTAAGGGCGGTGTTATAAACAGGGAGGGGGGGGGTCTAACACGGGTCGACAGATCACCTCCATCAACCCGGCCGACGAGTCGCCCATCTGTGACGTAAGGGCGGTGTTATAAACAGGGAGGGGGGGTCTAACACGGGTCGACAGATCACCTCTATCAACCCGGCTGACGAGTCGCCCATCTGTGACGTAAGGGCGGTGTTATAAACCGGATAGGGGGTCTAACACAGCTCGACAGATCACCTCCATCAACCCGGCCGACGAGTCGCCCATCTGTGACGTAAGGGCGATGTTATAAACAGGGGAGGGGTCTAACACGGGTCGACAGATCACCTCCATCAACCCGGCCGACGAGACGCCCATCTGTGACGTAAGGGCGGTGTTATAAACAGGGAGGATGGGGGTCTAACACGGGTCGACAGATCACCTCCATCAACCCGGCCGACGAGTCGCCCATCTGTGACGTAAGGGCGATGTTATAAACAGGGTTAGGGGTCTAACACGGGTCGACGGATCATCCTCATCAACCCGGCCCAGCTGTGAAGTAAGGGCGGTATTATGGGCAGCGAAGGGGGTTTCACGGGCTGACGAGTCCTGCGTTTGTGACGTAGGGGCTGACTGAGAGAAAGACAGGTGAGGGGCGGTAGCAGCAACATTGGGATGTAACTAATTTGTGGAAGTGGTTGTAGTCGAGGCCTCAGCATCGATACCTGCAAGTGATGCAGGTCTTTTGTGGAGAGCTAGGGCCTGGCTTGATGTGCGTCAGGTTGAGTTGAAACCCTCCCCCATCCAAGTTGTATTGCAATATGTTGCCATCCTTTCAGTGCCCTCGACTGTTTACGTAAACCAACGTCCATTGAAATGTTCCGGTAACCCTAGTTCCGTCCGTTGCCGACAGGTGGCGCGGTCGTCGCCGTCCGATGTGGACCGCGCTGTGCGGGCAGCGCACGAGGCCTTCACAGAGGGCGAGTGGGGCAAAATGAACGCCAGGGACCGCGGTGCGCTCATGTTCAAGTGAGTGTTTCGTCTTGGGGAGAACCGAACTCCTTGTCACTTGTCGGGTCTGACACTGAAATCGTCACTTGCTGAGGCTCATGTTTTCCTCTTTCACATGTGCGCTGTGCAGTAATGAAGGATAAACTAATCTTTGCTCCCTCAGTGCTTGTCTGTAGGCTGTTCTGGTAAGTACCGAACTCAGATGCTGACCCATTCCTGTCCCTCTCTGTCTGATCTGATCGTCCAACTATTCCCTTAGATTGACCCGTCCCCTCCTAGACTGGCCGACCCGCCTCTTATCAGTCTGGCTGACCCGCCCACTTCTCTCTCAGACTGGCCGATCTGATGGACCAGCACAAAGAGGAGCTGGCCACCATCGAATCCATCGACTCGGGCGCCGTCTACACGCTGGCACTGAAGACGCACGTCGGTATGTCCATTGACACGTGGCGGTACTTCGCCGGCTGGTGCGACAAGATCCAGGGCAAGACGATACCGATCAACAACGCCCGGCCCAACCGGAATCTGACCATCACCAAACGCGAGCCCATCGGGTCAGTGGGGAGGCAGGGAGGGATAGAGCGAGCCTCGAGAAAGGGAGGAAGGGGGAATGGATGTGGGAATGGAAGAGCTTGTCGTATCTCATATATGTTTTCAGTTATTTGTCCCCTAGCTAGCATAAGTGACATAAATGATGTCCGATTCCGTCCATTTTCCTACAGTTTGTCGACTCCTACTCGACTGATGTTGCCTCTGTTGAACTGGTGGTGTTCGTTCTGACGGGTTCTCATCGGCTCCCCGCAGTGTGTGCGGCCTGGTGACGCCCTGGAACTACCCCCTGATGATGCTCTCCTGGAAGATGGCCGCCTGCCTAGCGGCCGGTAACACTGTGGTCATCAAGCCGGCCCAGGTGTCCCCGCTGACGGCGCTGAAGTTTGCCGAGCTGGCGGTCAGGGCCGGCTTCCCGCCGGGCGTCATCAACGTGGTGCCCGGGTCAGGTCAGTTTGCTGCCGATCAGAGGTCGGGTCGGGTCAGTTTGCTGCCGACCAGCGCACAGTGTGGCCGAACACCAGTTTAGCGCGAATTTAATCCCAGCGCTGCTCGGATCCACTGAAAATGGTTCTCTGGTTCCAAAACTGACACTTACCCCTCGCCGGACTTATTGGTTTTCAAAATACGCGCCGGCCGAAGGGGGGGGGGGTGGTACGACCCCCGTCGCTGTTTCGCCCCTGATGGAGCTAGAGCCCCGCGGAAAAAACGAGCGTGTGCGCCGTTACGAGACGCAGCGACTGGTATCCGATTTTAAGGTCTTAGGCCAACCTGTGACCTCTGAGGTCAGGTCAAGTGACCCAGGCGCGGATTCATTTTTTATTAATAACTTCGCGAAAAAATGCCGCAGAGCCGCAATTTTGGTATCATCATGTTCGCTTCACTCAGGCGCGTCGAATGGTATACTTTTTGTTCGGCTGAAGTTAACTTAAGGTGTTGACCGTGGGTCAAGGTCAGGTCAGAGTCCTCCAGATCACGAAGTTGGTTGAAGGAGGTCATGTTGCATATCATTCGATTCAGCAAGTCTTCCTGAGTCCATTGGTGGCTTTCTCGACTCGCTAGCTCAATTTAATCGGGAGTTATTGACGAAAAACTCTTATTACCCTAGTGACGTCATAAATGACGTCACGTAAGACCAACAATGCATAGGTGAAGCATCGGACCTTGCAAGGAGTGCATGAAATCACGATTTCGTGTGCTTGAGATAGTTTATTAGGCTGGAGCCTGTCCGGCCGCGCCGCCCCCGACCTTGGTCAGGTCACATAGGGCGGCCGACTAGACATGTTCAAAGCTGAGTTGACGGCAAATAGGCAAGAACTGGCAGCTGAAACTTGCTCGCTTATGTTCAGAAAGGTGCGGAGAGTTCAGCCATGCCCTATTCGTCATATCCATTTTTATCCATTTTGACATTTTTCAACTTCTTTATTAAATACTATCGTGAGAACGATACACATGCAGGGCTCTTGTTCTAACTCATTAAACTCAAAAACCATTCATTGAAAAGCTACCATGATAGCAGAAACAGCTTCATCATGAATTGTGCTATCCGGTGATATGCTATTTTCTCATATATCTTCTCGAAACTTCCGTAAAATTTACGTTGAAAACTGGACATATTTATCAGTACCATAGCCCGATTTTAGGAACCGGAGCGTGGGTCTACTTTCGGCAGGGATATAAGTCCTCAAATGGTAAAGTGGCTTAAAAATAAGGTTCTATCAGATAACTTCAGACAATTTCCTACCCACTGATAGGTATAAATAACAGTTTATCGAAAGTCAGGTTTTTGATTAAATTCGCGCTAATCTGGTATTCGGCAAGACTGTGCAGCGGTCGGGTCAGGTCAGTTTACTGCCGCTCAGGGGTCGGGTCAGTTTGCTGCCGACCAGCGGTCGGGTCAGGTCAGTTTACTGCCGATCAGGGGTCGGGTCAGTTTGCTGCCGATCAGCGGTCGGGTCAGGTCAGTCTGCTGCCGATCAGCGGTCAGGTCAGGTCAGTCTGCTGATCAGCGGTCGGGTCAGGTCGGCTAGCGATTACGTGACACCATTTCTGTTTCTGAACACCGAGCATCCTTGTCTTATAAATTTTTGCTTTTTCGCCAGATCGACTTAGTTTTGCTTTGGCTTTGGCATTTTGTCGTGATGAGCTCGGATATTTTAGCCTGTGATGCGTAGGTCATCGGTGCTCACTGCTCATTATTTCTGAAAATAAGGAAATGAATATCAAGTATTCAAAATATGTCTCCTGCCGAGTCAGTTGTCAGCTGCTACAGATACAGGTCACGTCAGTCGGCGCCTGCTCCCAGCTCCACCATACCCCGTTCCGCTCACCCCTGTCTGTATATTCGCCAGGCGGCGAGTGCGGTCAGGCGATAGCCGACCACCCGCTGGTGCGCAAACTCGGCTTCACCGGCTCCACTGAGATCGGCAAGGTCATCATGAAGTCGTGCGCAGAGTCCAACCTGAAGAAGGCCTCGCTCGAGCTGGGCGGAAAGTCGCCGCTCGTCATTTTCGCCGACTGTGACATGGACAAGGCCGTGCGCATGGTGAGTCGCCGTCGGCACCGGCGGGGGTACTGGAATACGGCGGAAACGGGGTGACCGAGGAGGTTTCTGACGCTCGATACGGAGCTTTATGGTGAGCCTTGTTTTTATACCTGTCTATCGTCTCTCGTTGATTGCAGCGATTGTCTGCCAATGCTGTGATTTGACACGTTGATCGGAAAATTGGATACTGTTTCTCTAGCGTTAGCTTGGCCCATGTGACTGAAGCGCAGTCGGCTCTGAAAACGGGTTAGATATGCTCGTAGTCCGCAATGAGCTGGGGCAGTGATCCGGTAGTGTGTATACAGCCGATATTGTTACAGATCGCCGTTATACTCCATTTTCTACGCAGCCAACTGCTGATTGTGGGGCTTCCAAACCTAGGCTATGTTTGCTTATTTCCCCTTATGTTAGAGATAGACTAATTTACAGTCATCGAAGCCGTTATTATTTCGCAACCAGTCCAACGCCGGCAAGCATTTACCTATCGATCATCACTGGCACTCTACAAACAGTAGTGGCTGTCCCGTACTGCAAGTCACGATATAAAAAAAAAAAAAACTTCATGTACGGTAGATAAGTAAAAAAGGCAGAACACACTCAAAAGACTCACCCATTATCAGTTCCTTTCAGCCACTCCTTTCCCCTCTCTGACGTCACGTGTCGCCTCTGGTGACGTCAGTGGCTGATTTGCGCCCGTGTGACCGACTGGGCGCCAGCTGCGCGCACCACAAGTGTGGCCCGTGGGCGGCGTCAGCGGAGCCGCTCCCCACGGCGACACAATACCCGCAGACTCAATATCCGCCGGCGAGCTGTTTAATATCGCCCCCGATGGGACGCCGACGGACCGAGGGCCGCTCAGGTGGCTCGTTGAGCCGCTAGAGGCGCCCCGGCCGGCAGCGGCTCAGCGGCTCATTGAGCCAGGAGTGGCACCGTATCGGTCGGATGAGGGCGCGCCGGTCAGGTTCAGGCCCGATTTGGGTCTGTCGGAGGAGCACATTCTGCATATTGTAGAGCGCTGTCCATGTGGGAGTTTAGTTTGATTGTTTTGGATCTGATCTGGCTATGTCTTATGATCCATTTTGAGAACAGTACCTGTCTGCAAGAGGGCATGTCTGAGAATCACTCGCCATATTGGATATTCAGCTAGTGGTTGGAGTATCGCACAAATAGCAGTGGGCTTTGTATGAACCAAAGTGAGACGAGACTGTCTCGTCCTTTTCGTGCTGTTTTCGTGTGTAGAGAAAAGATTGATCTGCCCTCATCCCACCGCTATCCTTTACATTGCGGTCTGCTGCCACCATGATTGTCCTGACCCGACCCATCTCCCCTCAGAGCCTGAGCAGTGAGCCTTGCCACTAAGCACTCGCTGTCTGCTGCCCCGTCTGCCCTGACCTGTCCCTGCCCCCCCCCCCCCCCCCTCAGAGTATGAGCGAGCAGTATGCTGTCCAACAAGGACTCGCAGCTATCTACCTCATGATTACCCTGACCCGATCCTGTCTCCCCCTCAGGGTATGAGCAGTGTCTTCTTCAACAAGGGCGAGAACTGCATTGCGGCCGGCCGTCTCTTCATCGAAGAGTCCATCTACGACGAGTACCTGCGCAGAATTGTCGAGGAGATCGGCAAAATGGTAAGTGAAGTCGACACCTGTGCCTGGGGGAGAGGCAACAGCTTCGCGTGCTCGAGAGTAATGTCTTTTAGTGGCGGCGACGGGCGGTTTTCGAATGGCTGGTACTGAACAAAGTCTGCTTGTGGGATACTTTGGGAGATTGTAAGGTATGATAAGAGTTCACTGCTGGTCTGCTCGTGGAGGGAGTTTGCTGTCGCAATTGGGATGGTCGTGGAGGTAGTTTGACCAGGGTGAGTTGGCGGGTAAGTGTATCTTATAGACTGTTTCGTGATAGTCGACCGCTGGCTAAATTGCCATCGAGCCCTCTATGCTCGCTCGGCGGCCGTTCGGCTCTGGGCCGTTAGTAGCCTGTCTCGCTGGCCACTGACAGGCGGCGGGCGGGGACCGCTCTCCGAGATCCCTCGTGGACACTGGTCACTGGTGACCTCCCCCGGCCCGTTCCCCGGTATCCCTCTACTCCCGTGACTCAGCCAGGACGTATCAGGGCTGGTAATGTGTAACGGGGACAGGGACACAGCTGCTGCACATTCCGAAAAACGGCTCCGTCACCGCCAGCCACCCGCCTGGCAAGGCGAGCTGCTACTGCTGACTAGATACGATCGCTGGCTAAGGCCACTCAAGGTCAAATAACATATAAGCATGTATATTGTGTGGCTTATGGATACCGTAACGAATAACTGGAGCATGACGTATCGTCGATGAAATCACTAAGCATTCTGAGCTTGGGCCGTCGTCCGCTAGATCATATGTTGAAAACAAAACTATCGGAAATGTCAGGTGTATCGAAACTTTAGCGTTGGGTCTTCGTTACTACGAGTTTTCAAATGCGGTGGCTTTTTGGCTAATCTGACAATATCTTGTTTTTCTGTCCTCAATCACGATGGGTAGCAGTTAGCGGCAGCTCGCCTATTATGCACATTGCACTAATTGCTCACACTGTCTCCTGCCGCTAGCACCGATGCCCGGTCGGTCTCCGCTCGGCGCATGTCCAGTCCCCCTGGGCCCTGGCTTCGTGCCCTCTTGGTGTATAGTCTCTCTTGAAAGTATCGCGACTCTGAGGGGAGGGCGCCGCCTGTCCCAGCCGCGGTTGAGCGGAAAAGTTTGAGAGCCGCTGGTAGCACTGACCGAAGCCTGACACGTTCGGTGGCAACAATGCCCTGTATGTGTGGACGGTGGGTGGTGTTCAGTAGTAGGTCTGATGGCGATGGGACATTGAGGTCTGAGGATGAAGTTTCGAAACGTAGACCGCGGCAGGATAGACATTGTTCAGACTTTTGGGAAGCTCATTGAGTCTGCAATGACGACTCAGGTGCTCACGGTGTAGGATCTGCTGGCGGAAAGCTTGTTCACCTGATTGACAACAGGTTGAACGCCTTGGAATAAAGAACCATTTATCTTTGGTTTGATGTGGGCCTATCACAGCTCAGTGACGTAGCTCTAGCTCTATCTGGTTTTAATGCCCTCTTATGCTCGGGCTTTGCCGCTGCAATCGACATCTTTTTAAACTGGCTCAACTTGAGACCTACGTCAGTGGCCTTTAATTACTCACACATTAAGGTCACTGGATAGAATCTTAATTAATCTCTACTCGACGGTTCATGAGAGATCATTGTTCTCCAAGATTGCTCCAGCAAAATTACGGCCTAAATCCGATTCACTGACGATATAATGTGCACTTCAATTGTAGTTATCGATTCCAACGATGTTGCCTTTTCAGAAGCAAAGGCACTTAACCCTATTCCTGGCGGGGGGGCCTCAGGAGCCCCCCCCCCCCTGAGGTTTTTTGGTTATTTCTCCCAAACGCGTTGAGCTAGGAAGCTCAAATTTTCTGACTTTTCCTAAAAGGCTTCTACGCAACATGTCTGAAAATTTTGAGTTGATCTGACCTCAGGTCAGGTCACCAGAGGCGGTTTGGTGACCCTACCTCAGAAAAGTTTGCAATCACGCCAGAGCTAGAGTTTTTGACCGATCAATTTCTTCTCTTCAGGCTTTAGTTAGGGTACCAGTATGTGCAATTTGTATATCTCGGAATTTTGATATCGGTGACCTAAGGTCAGGTCAGTTTCGCGACCTCCCCATTATAAGTCAATGGGGGAAAAATCAACTCCCTGTTTTTACCACTAAAACGGGTCGGAATGGCCCCATATACCATACATGACTTCATATACGATCAACCTTCACTACCTTGAGGTCTGTTTTGCTGTTGGGCAGCTGTGAGGTCATGTGACGTCATCAAAGGTCACCAAAGGTTTTTGGCCAATAACTCCGTACAGGAACAAGATACAGACGCGTGGATGGTCTCATTGTGTTCAGCTCGTCAAGACGCATCGAATGATATACATGATGACCTCGAGGTCACGTGACCTGAGGTCAACCTTTGACCTTGACCTTTCGAGGTCAACATATATATGTCATTCGATGCGGATTGACGAGAGGATCACGATGATGCCCTTAGTTTGTTCCTATCTTGACTAATTCGAAAGTTATTCGAGAAAAACTCTCCATATCTAGCGCCGCCATTTTGACTTTTTCGACCCCTGTGACGTCATCTTTGACCTGACCTGAAAATGACCTTAGTAAAAATTGTAGACCTTGTCCATGCGTATCCGATGCCGTTTACCGCTTGTCGCTATCTTGCTTCGTTCTCGAGATCTCAGGTGGGGGGGCCGAATCGGCCCCCCTCCGCCAGTTTCTTGTCCCGGCGGAGCCCGCCAGGAATAGGGTTAAACTAGGGTGGCCCACGTGCTCCGCAACGCGAAAAGGGATATTTTCGATCGGCGGGTGTTCGGTTGTTCTTGTGTCGGTTGGGTCATCTATCCATTTCGGTCGATTGCTTTTTGACGGCTAAACGTTTTGGTTTGTGGAAAAAATATCCACCGCATCGAGGTGCCCGTGTCTGATAAGCATGCTTTCCACTTCAGAATCTGTCAAATGTGCTTTATAATTTAGGCGCGTAGTTTTATGACAAATTAAAGGCGTAGATAATTTTCACTAAAAATCGTTTTGCAGAGGTTTGAAACATTTATATTTTTAAGAATACTGTTGCTTGTCATGCAAACGTGATGATTGGATCTTGGAGAGAATTGAATGCTCTTTCCAATGATAGCATTTTCAATTGTCAAACGTGTCAGGTTAAGCAGCAGAATCCGTGTAATTATTTAGTGGCACATTTTGGACAAATACCGTTTAATTCAGCGATTTTTTCCACATTGTTTTTTATCAATTAGCTTTTCACAATTTTTCCATGAGAGACGGTACATTTTTATTGCTAATAGGCGCTGTTTCAACTCATTCCGTCTGACGATCACCTGAAATTAATATAAATTCCAAAATCCGTCCAAAACGTCCATTTTTCAAAACAAAGTGTCCTCCCCGGTGCACGTGGCGCGTGCCAACCTCTGCACCGCACACCATTCGATAGCCCGTTCGATTCTCTACACGATGCTGTTTTCCCCGTACCGGTCGGGCCCACGGTTACCGAGATATTGCACCGGGACCGGACCCGTGTCGGGCAAATTTGGCTGTTTTCGCCCGTTTTTGCCAGCCGATTAATACATGTTAAGTCTATGACGCGAATTTGCACTTTTTGGGCACGCGCCACGCGCTCGCTATCGATCCGATCGAGCTGAGACCCATCAAAGGCACGTTGTCCATCCTTGTTCTATGAGTTGCGCAAACTTCAGCGCGGTAGGTGCAACGGTGTGACCTGTAACCCGCGCTACGTAGCACCATGTCGCAACCTTCGTAATAGACAGAAAGTACGTCACCTCAAATAGTAATATAGACAAGCGGCTGCGCCACTTGCTTTGCTGCGTGGTAGGAAAAATTGCGGCACCAGCCAATTTGCTTTCGAATGGTGTTCGTTTCAAGTCGATGTGTCGTCTAAAAGCATAGATATGGACGGAAATGTGAACGGAATTAAAAAAAAAGAACTGTTCTGAGGGCTTTGTTGGATGAAATTTGGCTGATATGGGGTCAAGACGGGTCAAAGGGGTCAGCCCCGGTCAATTTGGGTCAGGCAAGGTCACAAAGGTCACCTCTCGTCCGATGGAATCAGCCCGGGCCACTGTTCTACTTTTGCCTCCACCACTACCCCTATCCCTACCCCTATCCCTACCACTACCCCTACCACTACCCCTACCACTACCCCTACCCCTACCCCTACCACTACATCTACCTCTACCCCTACCACTACTACTACCCATACTCCTACCCCTACCACTACCCCTACCACTACCCCTACCACTACCCCTACTACTACCCCTACTACTACCCCTACTACTACCCCTACCACTACTACTACTACCCCTACTACTACCCCTACCACTACCACTACCCCTACCACTACCACTACCCCTACCACTACCCCTACCCCTACCCCTACTACTACCCCTACCACCACCACTACCCCTACCCCTACCCCTACCACTACCACTACCCTACCTCTACCACTACCCCTACCACTACCCCTACCCCTACCCCTACCCCTACCCCTACCAACACCGCTGGGTCATGTCAGGTCACAGAATAATTGGATCCAATCAGTACTAAAATATTAGACTTAAAGTGTTCCCAGCCCTGTTCCTATTCGTGCAATTCCATTACCCTTAATCGAATTTGTCGGAAATGGCGCTTTGTGGCAAACGTGGCGCATTGCGGCAAACGCGGCGCATCTGAACCTGTTGGTTGATCATGCATCCTGGCACCAAATTGTACCCACATCGGACCATATTTGACAAAACTGTGCGATTTGCGGCAAAAATGACGCCCTCAGATAATTGTGACGCATTGCGGCAAACGCGGTGCATTTGTAAACTCGTATCACAAATTGTTCCCATTGAACGAAAATCAACACATTCTCTCGCCACTTTTTATTCAAATTAAAACTTGCCCCTCCGCCAATGCGAGGCACCCGCCACCGATCGGCATGCATTTAGTCCACAAAGTTTGTCGACCCCGGCTCTCAATGAAGATATACGAACCGATGAAAATTTCATTGGCGTTCTTCCAGCGCGCCCCACGCGCGAACCGTGCACCCCAGCGAGTCGGAACCTAGAAATGGCGCTGACCCGTTCTGTCACCTAGAAGGTGTGCAAATTTCAACTTCCTACGACTTACCGTCTGCCCTGTAGGCGAGGTTAATTGAACCCACTACACGATGTGCGGACACACAGACTCACAGACTCACAGACGGATTCTGTTTGAATAGTAAGATAGATGGTATATTTGAAATAGGGAAGGGTCTTGTAGACTTGTCTATATAGTATGCAGTCTCACTTCACAGACCACGTAATAAAACATGCTAGGGGCTGGTAGAAAACACAATATCCTGTGTTGGTGTAAACTTGTTCTGTAACGCCGTCTTAAAATAATGGTGTTTCATCGAACAGTAACCTTTCGGCTCTATGTAGTGATGCTCACTGGTCGTCAGTGTTGAGGTCAGACGTTGCGGACGGAGCTGGGTAGCCTGGGGAATCCTGTGTCGTCTATGTTATGGCCCATACCGAACATTGTACGGTTTCGCGTATTGTGTAGAATTGTAGATTAACTAACCTCCGTCCCCTTTCATGACAGACGATCGGCGACCCGCTGGACCGTTCTACGCAGCACGGCCCGCAGAACCACCTGGCTCACCTGGAGAAACTGCTCGAGTACGTCGACATCGGCGTCAAGGAGGGTGAGTCGCCGCTCCACCGTGTGTGACGTCATCTGCAGGCGTGACGTCACTGGATGGTAATACCGCTGAAAGCTTCCGGGAAGCCATTAGCGGGCGGGCCTCCGTCTCGTTGAGGGATGACTGCTCGTGCTCTGCTCATATACCCCGGTGGGGTGCTCTCTTTCTTTCCTCTCCGCTCTGTCATCCGTGGCCTACCTCAGATGGGATCTCTCTAGTTGACGCTTTTCCTGTTAATGAAGTTCCACTCACCTCATGGTCAACCTTCCTTTGCGACTCAAGTTAACACCCGTGATGTTTCGTAATTGTTTCATGATCCCCGTCTTCCCCAAATATTTAATAAATCGCCCACCACTGCTTCTTTCATTTTGCAGTTTCAGATTATAACAGTACCTACCAACAAGTGTCAGCTTAATGGCATCGAGCTGTTTCACCGCACCTGTCTACAGACCATATTCCTGTTATACTTTACTCCCACTCCACCCCTCTACACTCACACACACGCACGCTGACGCACCTGCCCCTCCCCCCCCCACTCACACACACGCACGCTGATGCACCTCTCTCCCCCCCCACTCACACACACGCACACTGACGCACCTGTCCCCCCGTCCGGCCGTCAGGTGCGCGTCTGGTGGTTGGCGGGAAGCGCGTGGACCGTCCCGGCCTCTACATGGAGCCCACCGTGCTGGCAGACGTCGAGGACCACATGTTTATCGCCAAGGAGGAGTCGTTCGGACCCATCATGGTCGTCTCCAAGTTCGCAGAGGGGTGAGTGTGTGTGTGGGGGGGGGGGAGACGGGCTCGACACTGCCGCTTCTGTTTGTTGCGCGAACTTACGTCCTTTGACAGACGCTTTTGTGTGTTGTACGGGGACCCGCAGTTGCTACTGTACACGAACCCCAACTCTAGCCGTCTGTCCTGTCCAGTAACAACCGATAACATTGATATCAACTGCCGGTCCCTGTACAAGAGCAGCTGAGGTTTTCTGTGCGTGCCCTCTGACAGCTTATTTTTGTTCCTTGTGAGTGTGCTGGGACAATTTACTCAATGTCGCTGTACAGTAGCAACTGCGGGTCCCCTTACCTACTGTTATAGTTCAGTGCTGTTGTACTGTTTTGATAAGTGCGTGGTGCGGACGCTGTTGTACACACTTCAGATGTATGGCGCGAAGGTCGCTGTGCAGTGTTTTGCTGTGTTTTGTTCAGGTGTGATAACTGCGTGGCGCGGAAGCTGTTTTGTGCTGTTTGTTCAGGTGTGATGAGTGTATTATGCCGTTGAGGCCGTCCCGCACTATTTGCTCAGATGTGTGTGGCTCGGGGCACGGGTGAGGTGGCTGAACCGCTGCTGTGCCCGCTCCTCTCGGAGCTCAGTCGTGATGACACACTCACAGCGGCTGTCGAGTGGCTGACAGCTGCGGCGTGAGTTAGCTACCGTGCTGAGAGGGAGGTTGGGCAAGATAGCGTGGGTGTTGTGCGTACGCTGCAGCCGGGCCTCCCTCGCGTCGTGTGTCCTCCTCGGCTGCCCTCCGAGCGCCGGGTCCGGGCAGCTGTGTGACGAGGACGGATACCGACCTGTCATTTCCGGCTGACCGAGCCTGCTGACGGAGCCTGCTAGTACTGCCCGCTGACAGAGGCTGTTGACCGAGACTGCTGACCTGCAGCTGACCGAGCCTGCTGACTGATTGCCAATCTCACAGTGACAGAGGGTGTAATCCTACCTCTTCTACTCCACAGTGACGTGGAGGGTGTCATCCTACCACCTCTCTATTTCACAGTGACGTGAAGGGTGTGATCCTACCCCCTGTTTCACAGTGACGTTGAGAGGTGTTATCCTATGACGTGGAGGGTGTGATCCTACCCTCTCTCTACTCCGCAGTGACGTGGAAGTCGTGATCCCATAGTATACTTCACAGTGGAGTGACGTGGACTGTGGAGGGTGTGATCCTTTCACAGTAACGGTGAGGGTGTGGTCCTACCCCCTGTTTCACAGTGACAGAGGGTGTAATCCCACCCCCTTTCTTCTCCGCAGTGACGTGGAGGGTGTGAATTGTGATCCTACCCCCTCTCTACTCCGCAGTGACGTGGAGGGTGTGAATTGTGATCCTACCCCCTCTCTACTCCGCAGTGACGTGGAGGGTGTGGTCCGACGCGCCAATGACACCGAGTACGGCCTGGCCTCTGGCGTGTTTACGCGCGACGTGAACCGCGCCCTGTACGTCTCGGATCGGCTCGACGCCGGCACCTGCTTCGTCAACACCTACAACAAGACGGACGTGGCCGCCCCCTTCGGCGGCTTCAAACAGTCCGGATTCGGCAAGGACCTCGGTACGTCAGCCGTTAACGCGTTAATGACCATTGAACATCTATGTGTTATCATTCAGTTTTTTCCTTAATATCCTCACAGCACATATTGTTTTTTATTGCCAGTCATTCGGGGCAGTATTGATAGTCTATATCAACATTATTGTAGTTTGTAATGTACGGATTATTGTTTTTGTGTCAATGTCCGTTCGTTATTTACTTTTGATAACGAGCACTTATTTTACAGTTTTAGAATTAACAAAACCTGCAGTGATGTGAAGTGGCATTTCGGTCTTTGGCGAAATATAAGGGGATTGATGATTGCTTATGTACATTTTAATTAGGACAAATTTTTATTTCAAGAATAGTATCGAAAGGGACTGGCCTGATTAAATCTTGTGTTTGCTCCGTTGCGGGATAATGTCTACCATCTCCGATCGAAAATAATTGTCCTCTAAATAGACCTTTAAACAGTTTTTTTATGTACCAAGGCCTCATTCTATTCAGCCAAATCACTGGTCTCAGCGAACTGGGTCATAGGCAGGTGTGTCGTTTGAATAGGCAGTGAAGTTTTTTAAGCCACTTGTGAGGCGCGTCCATATGTGCCCAGTCAATGAGTAAGTGTGGCCTGACTAGCTCCACGCTGGCAGCTGAGTAGGTACAAAGGTCAGGCCACTGACGGTAAATGATGGAATTCAGCCACCGTTATTTCACCCTTGTATTTCCGATATCTTCCTGTGTGATTGCAAGCTATCCTGACATTGTGTCGACCTTTGTCGCCATTTGGCGTTCGGATTGTTATTTGTCATATACGCATCTAACGGAACAGCGGTTACTGACAGTTGTAGAAAGGTGTGTAATGTATATGGTGGATGCAGGATTTATTGCTCACCTGAATTGGCTCGAGCCAGCAGTTGATGCGCAGTATCCTAGAGAACTTGTCCCGCCCCGAGACTCCTTGTTTCATTACGCAGTCAGTCTGTATTCTTTGTTTCTATCTTATATTTGTAATTTGTATAACGGCACCATTCATCGATACACTAGCCAAATGTCTTTCCAAACCATAATTCAAAGGACGGCTCAAAGGAGGACGAAGCAGAAAGACAGGTTGCACTTTGGAACAGAGAAGCTGGATCCTAATTATGTTTAACGTTCACCTCCTGCGTTACCCAAGGGAATACGATATAGTCCATACGTCAGTACTGTTTCTGTCTGACGGCTGATTGGCTGTCGTCGCGGGAAGCCGCGACGCTGATTGGTTCCCGGTATCGGTCACGTGACCACGCTCGGCTGACGACAGCTGGCTGAGCGGGGTGATCAGCAGGGCTGCTCTGTGATTCTGCTGTGTTCCCGTCTGTTGAATGTAAATACGTGCGTCAAACTTAGATTTGAGACTTCACCAGTAAGCAGAGTACCTTGTTGGCAGTCATGACAAAACATCAACGTTGAACGTGAAACATCAACGTTAAACATCAACGTTGAGCGTCGAATGTGTGTGCCATTTAAGACCGACGAATGGTCCTTTTGATCCCCAGGTGAGGAGGCACTTAACGAGTACCTCAAGACCAAAACCATCACCTTCGAGTACTGAGCCGGCGCCCGGCTGATGACGTCCCGGTTGTATGATGACGTCATGACCGTGTGATGACGTCATCGCTACCAACTGAAGATCACTGCGCCGGGCGGACCTAGTTACGCCGCCATCGGACTTATGTCAAACTACCGAATGTGCTCACTGGCTTAGTAAAAGGTCGGGCGTGTCAAACCGCTCAATGACTCGTTGAAATGTCGGGAGCCAGTGTCGCTCAGTGCCGTCGGAAAGTGCCGTCATGCTGATCTGATCGGTCTCGTCGCGATGGACAAGTGACGCGATGAGCCCGTCACGAAATGAACCTCTCTGGTGATCTGATTGATACTTACAAACATCCCTGGCTGTTGGGATGTGTTCAAAGATGTTGTATATAAAGGTCACTAGCGGGCCACGCGTGCTTCCCGAAACCTATTCGGGTACTCTGGATCAGGGTTTGACTCTGGATCTATTTTCACCAGCGATGGTATCGCTAATTGTAGCTATTTGTGGACATATAACAGGGATAAAAACTGGTATGGTGCGAATTTTTAGGATATTGTGCGCAACGTCGAAGTGGTCTTTGGACGTTGTATGTAGCCCTGTTTTATTGGGCTGCACAGTGCACACTATGGGTTAAAGTCGCGTGTTTAAGGCTATGATTTGAGCTCTGACTTTTGTTGATATATTTTTACGACGTGTGTCGTTTTCAATGAGTGGTGCGCTAATTTGAGTCTCAGTGACTGTTGTTTACTACTTACAACTCTGTTGCGCTTTGCCGTGTATGTAAAGCGCCTTCGGAGTATCGCTTAAGTATTCAGTCATCTCCGTGGTAGCTCACAGTCTGATATCAGTAAGCACAGAGGGGTGGTGAATTTCAATAGTCTCTGAACAACAAATAATTCGCAGACGTCTGATTGTGTATAGCTTTGTGTTTGCTGTTTTTGTGCTGCCATGCTGTGGCTGAATCTCGCCTCATCTGCGACTGCCACCTCGGTGTGAGTTTAGACTGGGTTAAGAACTGCCGAGCCGTATGGGTCTTTTGCTTTATCCCTGGTTGGTGTGGACTGTGGAATCCATGGTTCAGAGTATGCTGGTCTTTGTACGTAGAGCTTTTTCCATTTGTAAATAAACGGAATATCTGGTTTAGTATTTGCTGTCACGAACAGTTTCTATTGCCAAACAACTGTTTGATTAAAACGCGTCCTAAATGTGACGCCTCGTCTTCGCTGGCGACACTACTGCGTAGTTTGTAAACGGTGCGTTTGTAGACTGCGTGTTACATATCGTTTTCAGTGACACGTGAATGAGCGATGGCCTCGGGTGTTTTTCCCTTGTTCCTCGTCCATCGACAGCACGTCGTCTTTAGCAGCAATGCCTGGGATTGGGTCGTAGTGTATGATACTTCACTAGCGGTTTAAGAGAATTATTTTGTTCAGTGATTAGTTGCCATTTCTTTTGTAAGTGAATTACTTTTGAACGTAATGGCACATGTGGTCTTTACTTGATTCATCCTGAACGCTTTCTTCATTTTACCGCTACTCCTCATTTCAGAATGAGTCTCGTAAGACAAATTTATCCTGCGTTTCTCGGGCGAATATGTTGCTCATTCACGCAACGTTCGTCCAATCGGTGGGTATCAAGCCTGCTCCACATAATTTTGCCGTAGTCCGTACTTTGTGAATGAGTCTGGCCAAGCTGGATCATATGTCAGGGAGGGGCATATTCACAAAACCACGACACGAACGGATTATATCCGACTACGGCACGCACATTGATTGACGTCACAACCCATCCACTTACGCGCGCATTTTACGCAAACGTAAAAGTACGGTGTTTTTATGCCTGGTCCGATGCGTTTTTATCGGCTGATGCTTTCGATTGCTGAGCGTCTCTCAGTGAGTCCTGGCGCTCAGAGGTGGGCGGAGGGAGGGTCACGTGACCGGCGCCGGAGGCTGTGGCCGGTCACGGGTCACGGCCTGGGACAAGGTCGTGTCTGGGGGCGGGTTACCGCCGGCGCCGAAGTGGCAGTCGCCCTGCGCGGGCTGGGCGGGGAGGGGCGGCGGTGCGCGCTGTGTGAACGTGCCACCTGGGCCGGCCGTGTGCGCCCTATCTGCCGCCGCGCGTGCTTTTTCTGTGTGACCTCGCGGCCGAGCTTCCACTACCGAGGCCGAAGCGAGGCCAAAAGGATAGCGACACAAACAACGCAGAACGCTACTGCAGTGTTATATCGGCACTTCTCTGCGAGTTTTTTTTTCTGTGAGTTCGTTCTGTGTTACGCCACTACCTGCGAGTTCTCGCGGCTCTGCACCGTTCTCGGTCGAGTTCTCTCCGTTCTGCGCCACTCGCCGAGTGCCGCGGTGACGGCTGAGCCGTTCGCCGGCACAGTTGTGCCGTGTTCGGCCTCTCGACGACCGGTGACAAGTGTGCTAACCCGACCGGGGCGGCGACACGCCCGTCGAACGCGGCACGGCGCGCACTGACGGCTCGGCCCCACGGCGGCGGCACCTCCCCGGGACTGCAGCGGAGCGGAGACGCGGCTCAACGAACGGTGAGCGAACGGCTCTGGAGGGTGGGAGGGTGGGTAGGGAATTACAAACTTCGAGCCGTTTGTGAAATTCTTCCGGTCCAATGGAATTTAAAACCGTCTTCAGCTCCGAATTCAGAGCTTCACTTTAGAACAAAAAAAAAAAAGAACGGTTCGAATGGTAGGGGAAGCCGGGGGAAGCCCGGGCGCGGGGGAAGCCCGGCCACCCCGTTTCCGGCTAAATTATTCACAATAAAATGCTCAACTGTTTGTCCTTTCAGCGTGGCAGCTAAGGTAACGCCAGCATACAAGTTAAGGCTAACAAAAACTGCATATTGTTAAAGTTATAGCGCAAAAATGATATTTCAAGGGTTTTTAGCTACAAAGTGAGATATGTTGCACTGTTTATGTTATACCATACAGTACTAATATTTATACGAATGTTATGTAAGGACCGATTAAGTGTTTGTAGTGAGGGGTGACGAGGCAGGCTAGCTTAAGTATGACATTTTTTTCGAATATCGCTGTTCTAAAATAAAAATTAGCATATTGGGGTAACCCCGGGCGAGTGGCCAAGCTTACCCCCAACCGAGAGCAATGCCACTAAACCACTGTTTTCCATGAGATAATAGGTACTGAGCAGGTTTGGTTTACACCTAGATCAAAGATAAATTTCGAAAATAAACATGTTATCATAGACAAAGCCAGTCATTAAGGTTAACTAGGGTCAAACTACGTTTTTGCAGATAACGCGACAGACAATGAAGCTAGAGCTTAAAAAATGGTGTCGTTGTGTTCTTCTTCATCAGCCGAGTCGAATGATATGCAATATGATGCATTAAGGTAAAAAGAAAAATAACTTTTAAGGAATTTTGAAATACACATTTTTTTCAATTTTGCATCACGATTTTCATCGACCTGTACTGTATATGTGGTAGACGCTAGCAAAAATACCAGTAGTGACATAAACTCTAAGATGTCCAGAGCTAATCAGTACCTTAATATTTCACTTTCCGTTAATATTTGGAAGACACATAATGGTTTCATCAACTCGTTATAAAGCGCTGGGGAGGTGGCCGGCGTTACCCCTATGCCGGGCTTACCCCAGAAAAATAAACACTTTTTTAAAACTCGATTTTCTCAACCTTATACTTATTCCACGAAACCGAATTTTTGGGAAAACACGGCCAATGAACTTAGCTAGCTAACAGGATATCAACATTTTATACAGCACGTATGGTATGTAATAAAAATGAAAAAGAGCTTACTATGCCGGGCTTCCCCCGGCTTCCCCTATGTCGCAGCAGCATGAACCAAAACGAGTTAGATACGCAGCACTCGGCAGCCGCATCTCGCTTGCACTTTGCATATTTCACTGTCAGACAGCCTCACACGTGTCGCCGAAAGTGTGTCGTGCTTCGTGAATTGGTGACCTTAGAAAAAGGCACGGTTGGTAGTTGCTTTTTGCAGCTTGCATATACCTAAATGATAAATTATGAAAATGAATAAGAATAGAAACCCATTTCAAAAGTGGAGAAAGTCAACAGGCGTTCTCTCTTCGAGTCCTTATGCAGTGGCGGCGCCGAACACCTTCAATTAGGTAAGGGGGGGGGGGGCACTGCCGACTTTTGGTCCCATTCTTTCCATGCCACGACCATAGGGCTAATGTTGAAATGCCTAAATCAAAGGGGGGCACGGTGCCCCGGTCCCCCACCCTCGTTCCGCCGGCAATGTTCTTATGTCCTGTCTGAGAGTGGGATACGGTTTGAAAGGCACCTACCCGGTCGAGGGGGCGGATGCCGTCTTCCCCCCCCCCCCCTCCCCCCTCCCTCCACCACCACTACCACCACCACCGACGCATTTGTTCGCGATTGTTTGGAACGCGCTGGCTGAAGGGCTGTCTGTAAGCTAGCATACCTTGCCCTTGATTCAGGCGGAATCTGGAGATATCAACCACATTTCTGGGTCAGGTCAGGTCACTGACATATATGACGTCGAAAGGGAACATCTGTAGCCTGCACTATATCCTAAATGTCACAACTGCGCAAGATGCAACGCCCTCATTGCCAGTTAACATTTCACAGAGAAATAAAAGTTTCACGACTTGGCGACCGCCCAAGCTATCAACTTCTCCATCTCTGGTTTGGTTGTGGAAGTCACCTCAACCTGAGGTCAGGCCGGTCACATAGCCTCACCATTACATAAGTCGGTTGGGAAGATGCCGAAAATACTATTTTGAGGCCGCAACTGATCAAAGGCCTTTTCAAGCACGTAAATCAGTAGCGGCCGAACACCTTCAATTAACCCTCGCCGGCACAGGGGGGCTTGATGCAACCCTCCTAAGGTTTTTCGCGAATACCTGGCGTAAAAAGCGGCTGATCGCGGCGAAACTTTCAGTAGGTACCCTCGCATTGATCAATTTTACACCTACCGTAAGGTGGGGCTATTTGAGACAGTGGGGCTATTTGACACAGTATTTAAAATTGCTATAAAATAAAAACCACTTGAAATTTATGCTTAATTTTTTGCTCAGGCGATTTACTGCTCGATTCCACACCTCCCTGAGCAAAAATATCACACAAAAATCAAACGATCTTCATTTTATAACGATTTTAAATACTGTCTCAAATAGCCCCACTGTCTCAAATAGCCCCACTTTACGGTACCCTAAAAATTTCATGACCCTGACCCAAATGACCTTTGACCTGTGACCTACTTTCCGAGATCATGTTTGGCCGGACTTCGCGATTCGGCGTATGTCGGCTCGCATTAGCCGCGCGTTTGCAAGCTTTTCGTGGTTATGTATGCCAGGTTGTATGTAGAAAACCGACAGTTGAGAATTAACCCTCGCCGGCCGGGGGTTAATTCTCCTAAGGTTAATTCTCCTAAGGCCGCCCCCCCCCCCTAAGGTTTTTCGCGATAGCTCGGAACGCGCCGGCAATAGCAAGCTGAAATTTGGCATACCTGAACTTTTATTTGAGCCGGATCTTGTGACACCAACCGCATTTTCAGGTCAGGTCAGGTCACTGATCTATGACGTCATAAGTGAACCTCTGTACGGTCCTCAGATGTCGCAACTACGCAACGCCCTCACTGCCACAGGAACTTTCACAGAGAGATGAAGCTTACATAGCTTAGTTAGTATCCTTCAGATGTCTCACAACTTGCATGTCTCGAATTCTTCCAAAAGGTCACATGAGGTCAGGTCGGTCACGTGACCTCACCATTATGAGTCAACAAGGGAAATGAAAACTGCTATTTTGGCGCCGGGAACGATCTCAAACTACCACAAACACACGGAATCATAATTTCATGCACTCCTTGCAAGGTCCGATGCTTCACATTTGCATTGTTGACCTATTGCGACGTCATTTATGACGTAGGTACTAGGGTCAAAGTTTTTCGTCAATATCTCCCGATCAAATTGAGCTAGCGAGTCGGGAAAGCCCCCAATTGACTCAAAAAGACCTGCCAAATCAAATGAAGTGCAATATGACATCCATCAATCAGTTTCGTGACCTGGGGGCTCTGGAATGACCTTGACCCGAGGTCAACGCTTCAAGTTGACCTCACCCGAACTAAAAGTACCTATGCCATTCGACGTGCATGAGCGAAGCGAACA